ACTGTGATTGCTTATGCCAGTAGAGGGCTGAGAGGGGCTGAGAGAAATGATAAAAACTACAGCAGCATGAAGCTGGAACTGTTAGCGCTGAAGTGGGCGGTCACGGAGAAGTTCCGAAGTTATCTACTGGGGTCCAGATTCACTATAATAACGGATAACAATCCCCTCTGCCACCTCAGTACCGCCAGATTGGGAGCGTCGCTCAACTCGCTGCGTTTGACTTCGAAGTCAAGTATCGCCCCGGGAGGTGTAACACGGCTCCCGATGCTCTTTCGAGGAAGCCAGGAACGGATGAACCGGACTCTGCGAGCAAAGACGCCGAGTATGATGGCTGTATGGCGATCTGCAACTTGCTCAGGACAGGAACAGCTCTGGGACCGGACCTGTTGGCAGCAGGAGTTGAGCGCAGTAGAGTCAGGCAGTTACGGGCAACCTTGGCTGGAAAAGAGGTTAGCGAGTGCGAGAATACTCCCACGCTGCCCGGGTATACGAAGTTGGAACTCTGTCAGTTCCAGGAGTCTGATCCAACACTCAGTGTGCTCAGGAAGTTTTGGAACAGGAAAAGGAAACCGACCAAGCAAGAGAGGATAGGCTTGTCCAGAGCCGTGCGATCCCTGCTGAAACAGTGGCCGAAGATGAAGGAAAAGGATGGTCTGTTGTACCGTGTGATCAATGATGTCCACACTGGAGAGTGTCATCAGTTGTTGTTACCTACCTGTTTGACGGATCAAGTTTTGAAGAATGTCCATGATCAAATGGGTCACCAGGGTATCGAGAGAACCCTAGGTCTGTTGAGACAGAGATGTTTCTGGGGAGGAATGTACGAGGATGTGGAAAAGTGGATTAAGCGATGTCAGCGTTGCGTGTTGGCGAAGATGCCCCAGCCAAAAGTCAAAGCACCTTGGGCCTCCTTCTTGGCCACACGTCCGTTGGCGGTCGTAGCAGTAGACTTTACAGTTCTTGAACCAGCCAGTGACGGGCGAGAGAATGTTCTAGTAGTAACGGATGTGTTCACGAAGTTTGGTCAAGCCTTTCCCACTCGTGATCAGAAGGCGGAGACTACTGCCAAGATCCTCCTCCGAGAATGGTTCCTGAAGTATGGAGTGCCCCAACGCTTGCACTCGGACCAGGGCCGGAATTTCGAAAGTGCTGTGATTGCAGAGCTTTGCAAGTTGTATGGAGTCAAGAAAACGCGCACGACACGGCATCACCCACAGGGCAATCCTCAGTGTGAGAGGTTCAACAGAACCCTGCATGACCTCTTGAAGTCCCTCCCACCTGAAAGGAAACGGAAGTGGCCTGAACACTTATCAGAGCTCGTTTACGCCTATAATGTGACGCCACACTCATCCACAGGGTACTCATCGTATTATCTGTTGTTCGGGGTCCAGCCGCATCTGCCGGTTGATGCTCTGCTGGGCCAGGAGGCTGAAACGGATGACAAACCTGACTGGTTAAAAGTATACCAGGAACGTCTGCGAGATGCCCATATTCGAGCGAAGGAATATGCAGAAAGGAAGGCTGCGGAGCGGGTAGCGAGGCATGAGGAGAAGGTGTTTTGTCCGACGGTGGAGATTGGACAGCATGTGTACTTACGACACCGTCCGCAAGGAAGAAACAAGATTCAGGACTCGTGGTCTTCAACGATGTACCAGGTAGTAGAGATCCAAGGAACGACCTACACCGTGGAACCTGTTGAAGGAGGTACAGTGAAAAGGGTGCACAGATCCAACCTAAGACTTTGTAATAATCCAGTCCCAGAGACCATGTCAAGGCGTCGGAGAAAGTGTTCTAGTGGAGGAAGTTCTGCGTCCTAAGGAGAAACGGACAGTAGCACCAGCATCTGAGCATCAAAGACAGCCAGTTCCGGGATGTGGAGACTGTTCCATGGATCAAATAGTGGAATCTGATATCGTTATCGTACAAAACCAGAGTGCAGCGAGGACACTGACACCCGAGGAGTGATGCCAGTATCTCGGGAACTAGAAATCGGAAGTGTTCACTTACCTGCTGGGAGTCCTGAGATGAGATCAGTGCCTGCACCTAGAGAGGAGAGGAGGGAGTGTGTTAGTCCAGAAGTGCCTTGTCCTGCCGTGCGTAGAACACAAAGGAAAACTGCAGGAGTGCATAGGAACCTGAACCGTTTGCCCAAGTCAGCGTGTAATGCAATGGCTGTTAATCTTGAGAGGCTCGCCCAGATGCCAGCGGGATGGTCCGTCACGCCACAGGAGAGTTGCCAAGAGGGCGAGAGGATTAAGATGTTCAGGGTTGGTAGTCACCGGGGCGTCGACTATCAGCAGGGGAGAGTGTAACCGGGTCAAAAGTCACTAAAGTTAGTTACTGAACTGTTTAACAGAGTCCTGTTTAAGTGAACTGCATATGTAAAGTGTTTTAGTGCTTTTCTCAGTTATGGACGTAAAGTTACGCTGGCCCTTTAAGAAACGTCACTTCTGAAAGTGTCGCGAGAACTGAGTGTGAGCAGCGCGCTTTCCCAACGTGGTCGTGAAAGCTGTTCATGCGGACGCTGTGCTGAGTTAAAGGTGACAAAGTCAGTGGTATAGTAAAATAGTGAGAAATAAGGACTATTAAGAGTGTGTAAAGTGTTCTTAAGTGCTTTGCGAGACCGGATGGTCGTGTATTGCGTCAATTGATGGTGATTTCTGTCGAGAATCATCTCGGTGTGGGGAAATTCCAACAACACAATTCATGAGAAGCGTGAGTGATAAAAACATTATCATTACCGTGAAATGCGTACTATTGTGTGTATAATGTGATGTGAAACAGTATTTTTGATCTGTGATACTTCTGTCTAATAAATTAGAGGGAGAAGGGTGATCTGTGTGGGCCCTCCGTGAGTTACTGGGCCGAGAGTGAGACATCAGAGGGAAATTCAAGTGCGTCTTCCACTGTGAAGCTGTTTATGGGTCATTAAGTGGTGACAAAGAGTAAGTTTGAACTTTGTTCATTTCATGTGAATGTACAAGTGTTTATGTGAAAATGTGAGATATTGAGTGTAAAAGTGTGTGATCGTTTTGAAAGTTTTATGCAAATACTGGAAGTGTGATTTCTAATATTCATTGTACTGTACTTTGCTTGTGACAAAGCAGCTTTCCTGGTAATATGTGATGACAAATGCTATAACCGTTTGTGTATGTGTTTTCTAGAGAGAAAGGCTGCTACTGTTGTCTATGTTAGTCAGACTGAGTTTGTGAAGGGTTCATTTGATGTTGTGACGGAAAACAAAAGAGACAGTGAGACTCATTTTGATGTGAAAAGCCAACTTTATTGTTTTAGTTCAATTTACACAATCCTGTCTAATATAAGTTCCTGAAATCCTGCTTAATTAATGCTGCACCATTCAAAACGCAGTCTGGAATAAAAACCCCTTCATAATTCTAGCTCTGTGTCCGGTGTTATCACTATCTTCCACACCGGGCCACATATACATATAACCTATAACTTATATAAAGTCCAGTATGGTACTGCCACTCGTCACAATGGCTGTCACAGTTGTTAGGCGACAAAACCAGACAAATTGAACAACTCCAGCAGCTTGCAAGAATTTGTTATTGTGAGAATTTTGTTAGTTTCATTATCCAAATAACCAGTGGTGGAATGTAACGACATACATTTACTCTGGATTAAAGTATAAATTTGAAGTACTTTAGATTGTTATTCAACTCCACTTCATCTCAGAGGCAAATATTGTACTTTTTATGAAAAACTGACTTTTTACACATGGATATTAGATTTTGATATTAGATATTGTTTTAATAAATATGCACAGAATATCACAGAAACACTAATAAATATGTCTTATAGATCAGGGATAGGCAATGTCGGTCCTGGAGTGCCGCTGTCCTGAGTTTAGCTCATAGAATGGTTTTCTATGTTAAAATATTTTATGATTTGATTTGAGTATGTGAGTTAATTTAACTTATTCTTCCCTCTTTCTGAGAACATCTCAGTGACATGGCAGCCCACGCCTGAGTCAGCCCTGCAAACCTGTTAGTGGACACTCATCCCAGATGATGTCCCTCCAGCAGAGGCTTTACAGTGTCTCTATTGTGCAGCTCCACCAGGCTCTCCCTGCTCAGCTCAATAAAAGTCTACAGAAAAATGTTTTCTTCCAATTTTTTTTCATGTCTACAGAAAAAAGTTGAAACTTAATTTAAACTTGTATTTTGGTTTTCTTATCATTAACGTAACTTATCTTGTAAATACTTGTAAAGTACTGTAGCCTAAGTAAAAATGTAGTCTATAGAACAATTGCTTTTGTTTCATTTACAAATGAATTGACATGACAAAAATAAATATACATGATAATTTCTTTATTTACAAATTATAACTTGCATTACAACAATAAACAATGCACAGAAATATATATATTTTTGTTTCATTTACAAATATAACTTACATAAAAGTGTATACGTTTTCTCTTGGCTGCTGCTGGTTCCTCGTTCTATCCTTCTTGGTCCAGGGAAAGGAGGATGGTAGGCAGGGTTGCCAGGTCTGTACAACAAAAGAAGGCCAAAAAGCCCATCGGCTCTTCTCCATCGGGCGGCCGAATTCTCCACTGGATTTGTGAGTCTGAGGGATGTTTTGGGGGTGTCGGAGCGTCCAAATCATACTTACGGGGTGGAAATCAACCCGTGGAAAAAATGTTTACCCGCGGCAACAAATTAAAAGTATCCCAATTCCGCGGGCAAACCTCGGACTTGGCAACACATACGCTAGGATTCTTCGATTTGGGACAACCTTCGTCGCGCCGCTGTGACCCAATCGGCCTTCGGAGGATGCAGCCCCTGAATTGGGACACAGTTTCGGACACCAATACATATGGCTGTCCCCTCAAATAGTGCCCTATTTAAGGGTAAAGGGGACGATTTCGGAAATCACTTCACACTCCAGCACAGGAGGTGGCGCTACGCACCTAAAAAGCTGGTATGCGACCCGTCAATAAATCCACAGAAGAAGAAGCAGCGGCCCTGCAGTTCGTGCTTCTCTACGCTAGGTGGCAGTACTCTAGCTCTTTGTGTTCCGCTTCTCTGTTCTTGATGATCCAGTCGAAGAAAAAGCGCCCACCGCCTTTCTTTTTTTCAAAATGGCCGAATACTTGGCGTCGATTTTCGGTACAGAAAAAGACAAGTAAGTATATATTCTACTTAAAATATTGTATGTTTGATTATGCTCATTAATCGTATGCATTGTTACAAACCGGTGATTACGGGTAGAATATAAGGATATTTGCCTTTCCTATATCATGCCTCGTGTGGTTATCAACTGACCTGTTTGTCAACCTCGCCTCTAGATAATAATAATATTAAAAGTAATAAGTGTTTGTTTCACATCACAGAGCTTTAATGTGCTGAATAATCATTATATATCAAAATGCTTATTTTGAGTTTGTATTGTTTGTTTTATCTCGGCGTGGCTGCAGTGCGTCTCTCTTTCATTGTGTTGCTTGTGGATCGATCTTATTCATAGCAAAATCAAAACCTCTATATTTCTTTATAGTTTTTGTAAGCTCCATTTGGCTTCTCGTTGTTTTGTATTTTAATATCTTGGGAAGAAATAGTCATATGAACAGAAATTCAAACTAACCATCATGCGTGTGAACAAATCAGACCAAGTGTATGTATTTTGAACCTCTCTTGTTTTCAACAGGGTTAACTGCTCTTTCTACTTTAAAATTGGAGCATGTCGCCATGGAGACCGATGCTCTAGACTCCATAACAAACCCACGTTCAGCCAGGTACGCCAGTTTTTTTATTAATATTTTTTTTTTTACAACAGAGACCCTTTAATGTACTTCTGCAATACACTATTCTTCTGGTAGATTTGCATTGTAATTCTCATTTGGGTTGTGTTTCAGACCATTGCTCTGTTGAACATTTACCGGAACCCACAAAACACAGCTCAGTCTGCTGATGGCATAAGTAAGTCTTGAATAATATACATCTTGCATGATATTCTGGAGTGGCTTGAAGTGGGACAGAAATGAACAGCCTCCAAGAGTTACTGTAGCCATTACTGTTTCTGGTTGTCGGTGTCTTCTCTTTTTCATCAGATGCTGTTAGTGATGTGGAGATGCAGGAACACTATGATGAGTTCTTTGAGGTAGGTGGTCTTTCTTTGAAAGTCATTTTGAAATAGAGTGGCGTGTGACGTCAGCCGGGGACATACTTAACGACTGTAAGGCCGATTTTGAATGTAATTGGATACTTACAACAGAGACAGACAGTAAAGACTTTTAAATTTTTACAAAATATTTCTATTTAAAATAAATGCTGTTCTTTTGAACTTTCTATTCATTAAAGAATCCTGTAAAAAATGTGTCATGGTTTCCACAAAAAAAATATACGCAGCACAACTGTTTTCAACATTGATGTTAATACATGTTTTTTGAGCACCAAATCATCATATTAGATTTCTGAAGGATCATGTGACTCTGAAGACTGGAGTAATGATGCTGAATATATTCAGATTTGCATCACATTAATTAATTACCCTTTAAATTATATTACAATAGGAAACCGTTATTTTAAATTATCTAAATCCTACCAACTTATTACTTTTGTACACTGTCTTATCACAACCATTCTTACTGAATAATGGACACATTTGTTTCATCAGTTGTGTTTGTAAGCCATAAATCATTCTTTGTAAATTGTATTGTGTACAGGAGGTTTTCACTGAAATGGAGGAGAAATATGGAGAGGTTGAGGAGATGAACGTGTGTGATAATTTAGGAGATCACCTGGTGGGAAATGTCTACGTGAAGGTGAGATAATTTACAGTACTGTTATGTCTATGAAATGTAATGTCAACCATTGAAGTACGCATGCACTCATTTCAGATAATTTAAAACGATACAAACATCTAGTTCTAAAACTAAATTCTGATTGGATGAGGTTTGTTTTGGGGGAATGGTAAAACGCCAGTATTCTCATTCCTGTGACCGCACATTCTTTGTTATCTCTTTCCCCGCCATTTTCCCTGCTTTCCGTGTTTTCACTGTTATACGGTAGGGGGCACTGTTACGCATCTTCTGAAAAAGTACTGAATCTCCTGATCAAAACCGATGCGAAGAAGATGCAAAAACAAGCGATCTCATATGTAATCATATGCATTATGTAAAATAACACGATCACCAACATTAAACGCCATACAAATCAAAACTGCCTAGTAATGTTACTGAATGAAATGTCGACCCAGGACAAGCTATAGGACTGCAAGCATTAGGGGTGTTGATGGACTCGATTTATTGCATCGGTGTTTTGATCATCGTTCTGAATCCAATCTGAATGTGGTCTTTGACAAAACTGATTTTTCTCCGCTTTTTGATCAAAATGTTTTTATGAAACTTACCTATATTCAAGTGTTGATTAAAAAAAAAGAATGGATGAAGCTAGGATAAAACAGGGGTTTATGTTTAAAAGCAGATGGTCAGTTTCTTTCTTTTGATATATTGCATGTAGGGATGGGCATTTTTTTGTCGATTTCGATCATTGATGGGTCTCAAAAAACGAGTTCTCAGGGGGCGGGACGTGTCCGTCATGGAGATAATGAAAATATTTTACGACTGTTAAGAAAATTAATGTTGACAAATGGAAACATGTCTATGAAAACATGAACATATGACTAGCAAAAAATAACACTGCTAAATTAAGATGCATCAATGGTTTAAAAAAAAGAAACATTAAAACAAAATGACCATCTCAAATAACCCAGTCAATAATATCGTGCGTTGCATTTGAGCTGAAACTGTGAATAAACACCACCCTGCAGCGATTTGCTAGCGTGTTAATAAACTCAACCAACTGCGTCCTATATTAGATTAATCAGATATATACCTATTGCAACTTATACCTGTTACAACATTTCATTTGAGCTGAAACTGAAGAGTGAATGAACACTGCTCGGTACTGTAGCGTTTTGCTAGCTGGTTAATAAACTCAACCAATCGGTTCCTATGAGATTCATCAGACATAGACAACATAAGTAATCTTACAGCTTGCATCTGCACAAAAGGACAAGAATGTGCACGTGAACTTGACCACGCTAGTCTGATGTGTTACTCTCATTGTGGGATTCCCTTAACAGCGCTCTGATACACGGGCAACTAAAGCACAAAGAATTTACAGCATTCTATTACAATCGTGTTCTCATTATAATGTTATGTATAGGACAGATTGGCGCTGCATATCTTGCACTTAGCCTAATTGTATTTCATGATCAAAGTGATTCCAGGCATCAATGCCTTTCAAATCCAGTTTCACTTTGTTTCGCCGGTCTCTAAGGCATGCTGTCTAACGCTAACCAATCAGACCTCAGGTACCGCCGAAAATGCAGCAATAACCAATCAGAAAAATAGAAACATATATTTTTTAAAGTCCGGGCGCTCATCGTTTTCATGGTTGATCGTCGCTGTCACGTCCGAGTGCTCTTGCCCATCGCTAATTTCATGTTCAGATATTCATACAAACAAACATTCTGGGGGCCATGAAATGTTTTGTTAATGATCAAAAACGCTGGCAGTGGCTGGAAACAATTTTTTTTTAAATCGCTGTCGGGTAAAGTGTTAATCGTGCTCATGTTACAGTTATTTACTACTTAACTGTTAACTGGGAATAAAAATGTTATGATTTCATGTATTTTGTTATAGCCAGTGTTACTTGCTACCTGGTACTTTGTTTTTGTGCAACTGTAAAAATAATGCCCAGCTGTCTTTTTTTACTACTACTACTATTATTATTATCTTTCGTACCAGGTGGTTATCGGAATTAGCCAACATGTTGGTTCCCAAGAACTAAATGTTCCTCTAGAAACGCCTGAGTACACAGCGCTCCCATTCTCTGTCTTCATTAGTTTACGATCTGTTTAACAGTCCTATCTGATACGTTATTAGATAGAACTGTTATACAAATAAAGTAGACAGCATATGAAAAAGTATTGCCATTTGCCGTATGGTTGATGTCTAATGTCGCTAGATGAGCAGAAATGCATAATCAGGTTGAGATGTCCATCTATCAATGGTTTCCATGTTCATACAGTTAGTGTTACATCTGTGTGTACACAGCTTCTTTTTTTTTTAAATGGCAAGTGCTGGGTGTTTCACGTGTGTTCGGCTAGTTAGCATACACTTGCGTCACTGGTAGTTGCTATTATGATGGGTTAGACCCTACTCTAAAGTAGCAGCTAATTTAGTTCCACCAAAACGCTAGCCTGGATGCCAGCCGAACTTAGGTCGGGAAGTTCGGTCTGGACTTGATCCGTTGTGAAGCAACTGTGTTCAAACCAGAGCTATTTGGACCAATCAAATTGTCAGGGCAGGCTTTATACAATGATAGACAGATGATCAACAGTAACGTGATCATCCACGTCACCAAAGAGCGCTTGGATTGAATTCATTTACAACAAAGATGTATGTCTCTAATCCTAAACAGAGAACTTGTTCGTATATGCATTCACCTTTACTATTTCTCTCAAAAATGATGATCGTGTTGGTAACTGTGGAAAATAGTTTTTTTTAAAAACATATTTATGTTGCAACCATTGTATAAACAGTAATTTATTTGAGGCCGTTACAATATTTTATCAGGGTTTAAACGCATCTTAGGCTCTTTTTGCTTTAAAACACTCATTGCCAAGAAGCAACCAAAAACCTCTTTTTTGTGTGTATGTAGTTCCGCCGTGAGGAAGATGCAGAGAAAGCGGTGATTAACTTGAATAACCGCTGGTTTAATGGACAGCCCATCCATGCTGAGCTCTCGCCTGTCACCGATTTCAGAGAGGCCTGTTGTCGACAGTATGAAATGGGGTAAGTGACTAAACCAGCAGAGTGCTGCACACATTCCATAATACAGGAACGCAAAGCAATAAAATAGTATTGAAGAGTCCATTGCAGGGGCGGAGTGGGACCAAAAAATCTACCGGGAAATTTTGTAGACCACCGGCCCTCGTCGCCGGCAGGGCCAGATTAAGAGTTCAGAGGCCCCTGGGCACAATGTCTTGTAGGCCCCCTCTTAGGCAGGCCAAATGTATATTTTGTCCAAGGACATTTTAATATGGCATTTACAGTTTTAATGTCTTAAAAGGAACTTTGTTGTACTATGCTGGATTAAAGTTCATAAATGGTTATTCTTTCACATAGGATTTTGTAAAACTATGTTGGGTGGACCTCTGTGCTTCTAGGGGGGTTCGGGGGCATGCTCCCCCGTAAGAAAATTTTGTACATTTTAAGGTTAAATGCATCAATCTGGTGCTCTTTGAGAGATCAAAATTAAGAGCTTCAAACCATGAACTGCTCATTGAACAAAGAAAAAGCATTGATTTGTACCAGGACATTAAAGAGGGCTCAAACATCTTTTTAGTTATGAGAGTCTGTCTACATTACATTATCAATGGTGTTTTAGGATGCCAAACAATTATTATAATACTGTAATAATGATTTATATAATTATTCCTATGACGTAAAATCCATATAGCCTATAAATGTACTGTATAAATGAAAATGAATATTTCTAGGGATGCACCGATATGAACATTTTGGCCGATACCGATAACCGATAATTCTTTACATTTGAAAGCCGATAACCGATATATTGGCCGATAAATCTAAATTAAAATTTTATATACTTTGATAGCCTGTATAACAAAAGGCTCACCATTAAAAGCCTTGTCTCAAACACTTTTAACATAAATCAAACCTATACAATACAGTATAGCCTAGTTTGAACCAGTGTAAGATTCCTTATCTTTTAAAATTAATTTTACACTCATATGGACAACTTTCTTTATTAAAAAATGGTACTTTATAATAAGGTTTAATTTTGTTAGCATGACCCAACAATTTTATAAAACATTTTTAAGAAAGTTGTGTCTGTTAACATTAGTCAATGCACTGTGAACTAACATGAACGCACATATTTTATTAACTAACAATAACAAAGGCTATTGCTCTCTGTTAGATAATGCATTAACAAATGAGACCTTATTGTAAAGTGTTATCAAAAAATCTATTGCCTAACAAAAAATAAAATACATAAATAATGCAAACAAGTCATTGGATAACATTGGTCTGCATATAAAGAAACAAAATGCATGTCCCATGGATCAATAAAATGGAATCGCCTCCCCACGGACAATAAGAAAAAAATATTTTAATCAAACCATATCATTGATGAAAATAATACGAGAACAAAATAATGTTAGTTATTAATTATAACGCAATGTTTTTGAAAAAAATTAAATATTACATTGATAGTAAACATCTTTAATAGCTTAGTTACTGTTTCAAATGACATGTGTGAGCTGCGCGCGCTGAAGCTGAAGAGAAGGTTGGTTGCTAGAAGGTTAATCAACTCAACGGCTGTTGAAGAATGCAAACCCAAAGAATTTACAAATGTATTACAATAGTGAATACAATTATAATTGTATGACAGTCCCAATCATAGCTTTTAATGTTTTGCATTGTTGTTTAATCTGCGCGCGCTGAAGCTGAAGAGAACGAGCACCGGCAAAAACTGAAGAACTTTTCTGGCAGGTTGTTTAAATCCACGAACGAAACGCATCATATGTGAGATTAATCAGATATTTATATTACATCAACTTTATATTACGACTTATCTGCGCAAAATGACGTGAATGCATAATCGAACTTGTGCTGGTCATAATGTGTAGGCTAATCCCTGTTCTGGACGCACTATTCTCACAACAACGCGCTGAAACGGCAACTAAACAGAGAATTCACAACGTTTTATTACAATAGTGTTCTCATTATAATGGCATGTATATGACAGTCCCAATTATAGTTATAAATGTGCATTGCTGTTTGAGCTGCGCAACGCTAAAATGATCAAAGATGATCACAGCAAAGATGATCACCGGTACAATGAAGCGCTACTGCATCGTTCATTAACTCAACCAAACGCATCCTATATTAGATTAATCATATATATATACACAAAATAAACATATTACAACTTACAATGGCGCAGAATGCTGCGAATGCTCAAGAGAACTTGACTGTGCTTGTCATGAAGGCTAAACTCCATAGACGCGCTCTTTCCGCCACAACGCGCTCGTCGCGCTGAAACACTGGCCAACAACAATTCACAACATTCTTTTGCGTGTTTTTATTATAATGTTATGAGCTATGTGACAGATTTTTGCTGCACGTTGCACTGAACTGTATCTTCCTTTTCGAAGTGAATCCAATCATTCAGAACCATCATGGCGAACAGCGTGCATCTCTCAACTGAAGTAAATAATCTATCTATCGGCTTTGATATATCGGCCCAATTTTCTTATCGGACCGATAACGATAACATCAAAAAAGATCATTTATCGGCCGATATCGATATGTGGTCGATATATCGTGCATCCCTAAATATTTCCAAAGTATATTTTAGCCTACATTACACTATAGTAGCATAGGAAAATTAAAATACTTTTGTCCTAATTTCTTCACTGGCAAGAAATAAACCCTTGAGCTTTTATAGGAGAAAACACCAGATCACCGTGCTGATCGCGTGAGCAAATAGCGCACTTTTCTTTCAATCACGCAGCACAAACAGGATGCCTATATACTTAAAGTCTTGTGCTGTTTTATAAAGGTCGAACGCGTCAAAAGCTGCTTTCAAGCACTACACACCCTACGACCTACGCCACTGTAGCTATTTCGTGACTGGTGTCTTTTTGCTGAAAAGACAGGCACTTAGTGCAAATATACGCTCCGTTATCAAAAATGTGTAAAAACGTTATTTTTCCCCTCGCTTGGGCCTCAAGTGCGCATGGCTATAACACTTAACAGGTTATAACTATTATCAGACCGGCCCTCGCGGGCCTCGAAACACTACTGGCCCACCGGGGAAACTCCCGACTCTCCCGATTGCCACTCCGCCCCTGGTCCATTGTAACGCATTTCATCACAATGCCCCGTATGTTAACATAAAAATATCTCATACTTCACTTTTAAACTGCTTCACTGTGACTGACTGCAGTACTTGTGTCTTCCTGCAGAGAGTGCACTCGAGGTGGCTTCTGCAATTTCATGCACCTAAAGCCGATCTCAAGAGAACTCAGAAGAGAACTGTATGGCCGCAGAAGGAAGAGGTATGTCTGTTTTTTTAAACTCAAACACATAAAGATTGTTACAGAACACTTGAGTAGATCTACTTGTAATCTTCACTTTGGTGTCATTAGGCCTCTATAAGGTCTTGCTTCATTATCTGCCATAAGATAAAAGGTCCTTATTATAAAAGCATACTGACTTAGTTCAAATGTTTAACCTTGCGAAAACTGCAGGGTTTTTTTTTCTTTCTGTGAAACGAGTGACAAATGGCGCATTTATTTGATCAAAATACAGGAAAAACAGTAGAATTGTGAAATTACAATTTAAAATAACTTCTACTTTAATATATATTTTTTTTAAATGTAATTTATTCCTGTGATGGGAAAGTTGAATTTTCAGCATCATTACTACAGTTTAGGGCTGCAACAAACGATTATTTTGATAATCGATTAATCTAACGATTATTAGAACGATTAATCGACTAATCGTCGATTATTTCGCAGACTAATCAGTAAGTTTGGAACGATTATTCAGCTTTTCCAATTAGTTAAAACATTGAGTTATACATATCTAACATATTCTATACATATTATCTAACTATAATATAAAAAAAGAAAATCACTTCAGCTTTTGAAATAGTTGTTTTAATGAACTTTGAGCAAAATAAACAGGTCATTTTCTTTAAGTTTTCAGATTTCGGTCCAACTCAAATCACACTCAAATGCTCTCTAAGCATTGTTTAATAGGCCCACTGCTTTTCTTAGAACTGAAACAGAAAAAGGGATATTAACTTCAGGTCACAAAGAATGGTAAAATATTAATCTGCAAACAATTATTATAAGTATAAAATTACAATCTTTTTTTACATGACAATTGAGCTGACAGAGACGTTCTCATTCACCTTTTAATTTATAGTATGATAAAGTAACTGCCATGATATTCTTCCTATTTCATAGGAAGGATATAACATCTCGTTTTGTAAGTCTTCATGATTATTGAACAAAATACAGGCAAGTGATAAGACTATAATAATACCTAATATACTAATAGTGTTACAATAATAAAAACAGCCCTGACTCCTAAGCTCGATCAAGCTTTATTCTATGCAAAATAAGTCATCACATTACTGTAATTATATTACTATTGATAATATTATTACTATTATTAGTAGTATTGCATTCTCTAATAAAGAGAGATTTGCCGCTGGTTAGTAAGCTCCAGCTGGAGAACACTCAATTCTCACCGGCTCCTCTTTTGCCGGGATGTTTCCTCTTGCACTCCAACATGCATGTTGTGCTTTTTCACGGGAGAAAAGCAAGTTGCGCCTTGCAATTATTGCACACGACAGCATTCTTGATTTGAAGTTTTGTGAAACTTTCCCAAACCTAAACCTTGCTAGTTCGGATTCGTTTGCACTGTCATAATTCGCGCTGTGTTTTCTTCTACCGCAATAGCATTTGTAAGGGCTGCACTACACTCTAGCGCTACAGCGCCGTAGCGGTCAAATCGCGATATTGCAGGCCCTTACATTAGGTCACGTGAGATCAAACGACTACTCGACAACAAAGATATTTGTCGACAAATTTTTATTGTCGACGTTGTCGACAACGTCGACTAATCGTTGCAGCCCTACTACAGTTCAGTTTCAGTCACATGATCCTTCAAAGATCATTCTAATATGCTGATGAAGAAACAATTATTATTATTATAAGTTGAAAACAGCTGTGCTACTTTATTCTTGTGGAAACTGATGCATTATCTGAGGATTCTTTGATGAATGGAAAGTTCAAGGTTGCAGAAATATTTTGTAATAACCCCAATTCCAGAAAAGTTGGGGCATTTTGTAAAGTGTAATAAAATGAAGAATCTGTGATTTTTGTTAATTCTCTTTAACCTTAATTCAACTGACAAAAGTACAAAGGAAAAAAATGCCAAATTAATTGTATTTTGTAAATATAGACAATTTTTTTATTTTGATGGCTGCAACACCAAAAAAGTTAAGACAGGCAAACAAAAATTGGTTATCTTGGTAATAGTTGAGGGTATTTTGATTGAGTGTGAAAAGAGCATCTTGGTTTTTGCCAGCAAAGATGGGTCATGGTTCATCATTTTGTGACAAATTACATGAGAGAATTGCCAAACAATTCAAAAATCACATTTCTCAATGCAAGATGGCAAAGTATTTCGGTCTTTCACCATCTACCATACATAATATTGTTAAAAGATTCAGGGAATTCAGAGAAATCTCAGTTTGTGTAGGGCGAGACAGGAAACCTCCGATGAATGTGCGTGACCTTTGAACCCTCAGATGGCATTGCATGAGAAACCATCATGCTACTGAGTAAAATATAGCGTGTACTTTGTAAAACCGTTGTCACTAAACACAGTCTACCGCTGCATCAGGGAATTCAACTTGAATCTGTTAACCAAGTAGAAAGCTATACATCAGTTCTATGCAGAGATGGTGCCAAGCTCATCTCAGATGAACCAAAACATAGTGGAAATATGTGCTGCGGTCAAATTAGTCCCAGTTTCAGCTTACTTTTGGTAAAAACGGACATCGAGTTTTCGGTGCCAAAGACGAAAGGAACCATCCAGACTTTAATCAGTGACGGGTGCAGAACCGAACATCTTTGGTATGGGTCAGTGAAAACGGCATGTGTGACTTGCAAATGTGTAATGATATCTTTCATGGGAAGCAGCAAGACAATGCCTCTTTCAGCATGTGCTACAACGGAGTAGAAAAGGTTTTGTAGACAATACACCATAGGGTGTATGTGCTTTACTGGTCTTCCCGCAGTCCAGATCTGTCTCCTACTGAAAATGTATGGCCCATCATGAAAGGGAGAATCAGACCATGACGACCAATGAGACTCTTGAGCAGCTGCCTTGTATCAGGTGTGATTAAGCAAATAAAAACACTATAAAACTGCAACAATTAGTATCCTCAATGTCCCAACTTTTCTCGAATTGGGGTTATATTATACATTTCTTTACTGTTACTTTTAAATAATTTCATAGTAACTTGCTGATTTAAAGGGTAACTAAACCCCTGGTCAGAGCCTGACTCCACCCACTGGCAATATTTGAAAAATGCTGGAAAAGTGGGCAGAGCCCAGCGGAGATGGAGGGGACGAACTGAGACCGCAGTGAGGGATTGATTGACAGCTGCTGTCAAACTCGCTAAAATGGAGACCGACTGGAGTGACGCAAGTAGCTTTGCAGTCATTTGAAGTATTTTCTTCCCCACCTTCATCTGATTTTTCTGCCTTTTAAGAGGGCCAAATCTGAGGTGTGTGGTCATACTTTGGTCCTGTGGGAAACTTAATCGATGATGGTCACCCTGTCTGCAGAACATGCACAAAAAAGTCGCTGCAATACACTTCAAAATGTTGTTTTGAGTAGAAATATTTTATCTCACTCACTTGAAATAAACGTGAAGCTTCCACGAAGAAAAGTTCGCATTAATGTTTTAAATCTTACCTGTTTATAAATCCATTTTGTACAGCGTACAAAACAATCGTCCAGACAAGATGATCACAACAATATTATCAAACTCTGTAAACAATAAATTAACTCTGATTTTATTTTCAATACAATCAAAAACGGAGACGCAAGACGGCAAATTGTATTTGAATGAAACGAGAGAGCGCGTCCGTTGTGATAACGTTACATGGATTTGCACTGTTTATAATGCGTTGCTATTGACGACGGTCAGAAGGAAATGCCACAGAATAGAATCTTGCCTTAAAAAGTGCATAGAGCTGCTTGTTTTATTTGTTGTTTGTTGATTTTCATATATAAAACTATCCTGATCGTTTTCAATACTCGTAATTCCAACTCCTGACTCGCTACAGTAGTTTTGACGGAACCAGATGCTTTTATACCAGGGGCTGCCAAGGGCGTGGTGAGCTCGCACCAAGGGCGTGACAGAGTGACGTCAGAGAGTTCCCTACTGCAGGAGCTTTCCGTTTAACCTGAAGAGGGCAGCACTCAGACGTTTTTACACCATATATTTGAAAATTAAAACACTTTATACCCAAATGTCAAAAAATGTACTCGAATCAAAGAACAGCATTTATGAAGCTCCATTCTTACAGATCATTAACTAAAAAAAGTTGTTTCAGTGTTTAGTTACCCTTTAAGTATTAATAAAAAAAAATCGTATTGACCTCAAAGTTCTGTACTGTATGGTAGTGTATAAATGAACAGGTTTTGGTCTCGTTAGTTAATTTATTTTCTCTCCTACACAGGCATCGCTCCCGCTCACGTTCCCGTGAACGGCGTTCTCGTTCTAGGGAACGCAATAGAGGCGGAGGTGGAGGAGGCGGCGGCGGCGGCGGAGGCGGAGGTGGAGGTGGAGGAAGAGACAGAGAGAGACGGCGGTCAAGAGATCGAGAACGCTCTGGACGATTTTAAAATTTCCTTCTTTCTTGAAACCAACATTCAGTCCCCAAACCCTGCCCTGCTCTCTCCTGATGAAATGTGATAAATGTTGAATTTATTTCCTTCCCTGATTTCTTTGTCCTCCCATCTTTTTATTCAAGATTTGTTTGCTTTTCAATAAAAAAATACCTTAGTCATTTTACTTATTTTCAGTAGATATATTCTATTATATGCGATTACATGCTGTTATTTTACTGTGTTTCCACTTGTACTTTTGAAAGCAGTGGTTAGTGATTGTTTCTTGATTTCTTAACCCTTTAATACTTTTTCATTTAGCAGAATTGTTAAAGCTGTTCTCAAATTTGCTGTGATCTCAAGAAGAGATTAATACATGTTGCAAAAGCTATTTTAATGGCAGGAAAGGGGGATATATCCAAAATAACAGTATCAAGTCACAACAAATGGTCTTCATATTCAAACCCGCATTTGAATTAACTAACGTCAATGATATGGTAACTTAGTCCTACTATTTAAGAGGTAAATGTTTAAAGTTCATTTAAGGAACGTTTCTTTTTTTTAGGCGTTAAGTGTCTTTGCTAATCTAAAGACTCGAGAATGTTTTGTTTGTATTACTACGATAGAAGAAAGAATGGCCTCGGAGCTCAGTATTAATTTATGATAAGCATAAAACTGATAAATGGGTAAAAGCTCAGGGGTCCTCAATAACAGCAAGAAAATGAAAACCTCGCTCGCAAAAGCAACAAACCGGTCAAAGACAAAGAGCTGGGTGAGGGACAACATAAAATAGAGGAAGGTATCGCTAACTTGTCCATAGAAACATTAGAATGATCCAGATTAATACATATTTACATTTATAACGTTATTGTTGACGATTGTTTTAATGGGCTATTTCTCTTTTTGGAAAATGTAATAGACTATTTTTTAAGTAAACCTAACGTTACAAGACGACATTAACAATATTTGAATCTCGGAATATGTACAGCCAGTCGTTCATTATTGCAAGGCAAGTAATGATACGCGTATTTTTCAGACTTGAAAACTTATCAATTTTTAGTTTCTTAATTGGTAAGAGTTGCTCACAATACTCCGATGTTAGTTTACTATGTTAGAAATAAATTGGTAAAGTGCACTTTAGTAACACAATCCACTCGCTTGAGCTCATAGCATAGCAGAACTGTCCTAATGTTTTCTGTGCACGAGGGCACGACTAAATGTCGACGTTTCCATTGGTTAGGAGAAAAGAACAAACAGCAAATCAGCGCTCGACCCCAACAAGGTATGCTGGCACCTGATTGGACGCCAGGTTGACTCTAACACATGTGAGCTGCTGGCAAGCCGTCCTCTTTTCATATACGGATAGGTCATCTGTGTAATCGTACCTCACCGGCTCGCAAGTTCGTCTCTATCTGATTGTCAGGTGAGTCAAATTAACTGTTCGTATTTTAGTCGTTAAGCCCTAAAGATAACCCTTTTATTGATAATGACCAAGACACGATAAAAGCATCAATCTGCGACATTACTACACAATGGTGTTGTTTGTATCTGAACATATCCTAATCGCTTGCATTCCTCAAAAGAGTTTTCCACACATAAATTATCAATTTTTTTCAATACTCACAATTACATTACGCCTGTCGTAAGTGATGAGAATGCGGCGCGCGCATGATGAAATCGAGCCCCTGCGTCAGCATCAGCACAATGCAATAGCCACGCGATTGCGTCAGCATACTTTACCATGTTCGTTCATTGATGTGATGCTCTTAACAGTTACATGTTTTACAACTCATACCTGCGGTGGAGATCTCCAATTTATAATTCATTTGAGTCCTTTTTTTTTAAATTCATTATCTTTTCACTAGCATTTGAGCAGGATGACTGGCGATTCTTTTTAAAGCCCACCAAAACTCTCTTTGCTTTATTATTATTATTATTATTATTAATAATAATAATAATAATAAAGTTATGGTATTATAAATGTCAGCGGCTCTTGAAGAGTTTATAAATGTAAATTTAAAAAATAAAAATTGTTCAGAGATGGATCTCAAATCACAGAGATTTCTTGAGACAGCCTTTAACCAGCTCTTTTCTTATCAAATTTTTGGTTTAGTCATACGTTTCCTCAGGTTGAGAACATTTTTTGAAGATGGCTGAGAACTTTTTTTTCTTAGATATTGTTTCAGTGTTGTGACCATGACTAAACAGGATTTAAGAGTCAATCCCTCTACAGACTAGCTGGCTTTGCATGATCATCTCAGCTGTCTAGAAAGCCACACCTCTTCCTTGAAGGTTGTCTGTGGAAAGCAGAAGTTTCTTATTTCACTGTGTTGGGTTTACAGTAACTTCTTTTCAGAGTATGGATGACTCTTCTATGATTATGTAACTAATTATGCTGCCAATTGAGAGCATAGATAACATGCAGTTAGTAAAAACTACAGTCAAAACATCCCTGATGTCAGTGAAATTCCTGATGAAGTGCTTGAATTTTATTAATTTTATTCATCTTTGGAAATGCTTGTCCGTGAAGCAAACTTTTGGCTGAAAGGCTTTGTTGGTGTTGTGTATCACTGTACTGTTCATTGCATAAGAGTCCATTCCTGGCAAATTTACAAGCACGCAAGGTATGCATATGAACAAGTACAGCTGTTCTGTTCTGAAGAGAAACCTAAACATCTCCAGCTCCTATTAGAACTGAAAGAAAATTCAGTAGCAGTTTTCCACAGGGATTAAATTGTCCATTTCCCCTGGATTCCATTGCATCTCCTTCTCTGTGTCGATCATTGGTTTATTTTTTTTTATTTTTTGAATGAGGGATCAACTTTTGCTTATTCATGCTTTGACCAGGAGGAAGTTGAGGCTGTAATAAGGGTGCTTGTTTTATCTTCATGTTTGACGATCGAGACCATAGAGATTTATAGGTCTAATCTAATAGATATTGTTATCAAGAAGTGAGTGTTTTTGTACATTCTAAATGATAATGTTTTGTATTCTTCCTCTCACTGTATTTAAGCATGCAAGTGTTATCATACATTGAGATATGTCAATGAAGTAAAGCACTATAAATATTATCTTTTAGGAGGGTGATTGAGACTTTCATGGAATTTGTACAGTGGTTTGGCTTCTTAAATGGCATGTTGTGATCTGTCAGTGTTGCATAAGCACTTGGATGACATGAACACTGTATTTAAACATAATAGAGTGAAAACCAGAATGAACTTCTAGAGCGATACGCCCGCATTTATGATGGAAGTGTTGCGTAATGTTTCCTAATAATGTTTATAACCATTCTTTGGGTGATCGGATACTGTAAAACAGTATTAAGGAAAGCCTGGTGACTGACACTTAAAATGTTTCCTCTCAGGTAAGCCATGCCATCAGTACCATCTAGTTCAGAGTCAGTTGGGACTGGTCCCATCTGCCCACATGCTGCCAAGGTCCTCACAAATGCTGCAAATGGAGAATCTGGCATCAACATGGATGCCAAGCTGAAAGTCGATGCCGTCTTGAATGGAAATGCTGGACAAAAGTTAAATGTGAACGGCACAGCCCATGTGAATGAAACAAACAGTCACCATGTGAAGAGTATTAATGGAGAGCACATGGAGAATGGATCGGAGGTCACCATGGAGAGGAAATGGATTCGACCAGATTTGCCCAGCAGATGCACCTGGAAACTTGGTGACCCAAACACCGAGTCGCCCCACAACCACTTCCAACGGTAAGAATGCAGCACCTTAAAGCTGTTACATGCTTTCCTAAGAATTCATATTTGTCGGTACATAGATTTTAAAGGGATAGTTTACTCAAGAGTGAAAATTATGTCCTTTACTCACCCTCAAGTTGTTCTGTACAAACCTTTATTTCTTTGTTCTGCTGAACACGAAGGAAGATATTTTGAAGAATGTCAGTTAACCATACAGTTGTGGGTCACCACTGACTTACATAGTGTTGTTTTTTCATACTATGGAAGTCAATGGGGACCAGTAACCGTTCGGTCACAAACATTCTTCAAAATATCTTCTTTTGTGTTCAGCAGAACAATAACCTTTATACTGGTTTGGAACAACAGGAGGGTGAGTAAATGATGACAATTTTCATTTTTGGGTGAACTAACCCTTTAAGAGTGGGTTTAGTGGTTAGGGCATAGGGTTGTTTTAACATGAAGCAGGATGTTTTAAAATCAAACTATGCAGGCACTTGATGTGTTTTCCTACACAGTAAAATTGCATGTATGTGTGAACATTGAGGTTCTAAATTATAAAAAAAAATACTTTTAAATAATAAACTATACTGGACAATATATAAATAAAACCTCTTGCCAGCAAAGGAGAACTTTTGAAAATGAAGAAATTAAAGTAAATATTATTATTATTATAATTTTTCAGTTAATATTAAAAATCTGCTTTCTTTCTACACATGAATTACCATTCAAGTTACTCCTGTTAAACAACAGTGATTTTTCAGGAAGAATGACTCATCTACAACTGTAACCGTGAATGACCACACTTTTACCACACACATAAACCAATGTCACAGTCTGCAGAGTCACAGTGATTCAGTCAGTTTCGTTGTGCTTATTTTATGATTGACATTTACCTTAATGTGTGTTTGTGGTAGTGCATGTGTAACCGCTTGACGTGCTCCCTTTTCTCACAGGACCGAGACACCCAGTATCCTCCCCAACATCTTAAGCAAGATTGGAGAGACCCCACTGGTCCGCATGAACAAGATTCCCAATGCTTTTGGCCTCAAGTGTGAGCTTTGTGAGTATCTGTAAAATATGTGTGCAGAGGATGTGTGTTCCAACCTGTTTTTCTTCTTTTTCTGTCGTGTCCTATGAGGACACGAAAGATCACATGATCATTTAAGGACACCCTGTAAAGTGCATGTATCGGCATGTGTGTCTGTGTTGGTAAGTAAGTGGTCGAGTTCTGGAATGAGGAATGCAGGTGTTGGGTTTCGCTCTTCTAAGCTGATTGAGGACGTGAAGAAGCAAACGTTCCTAGACTTACTGTACTGAGTCACAGTTCATTCAAGCATTTTGAGTTCATGAACCTATTTATTTACTTAAATCACATGCACTTAGATAAAGGAGTACTTCACTTCAGAATAAAAAATTTCCTGATAATTTACTCACCCCCACATCATCCAAGATGTTCATGTCTTTCTTCAGTCGAAAAGAAATTTAAGTTTTTGAGGAAACAATTCCAGGATTTTTCTACATATAGTGGATTTCAATGTGGTAGAACGGTTTGAAGGTCCAAATTGCAGTTTCAATGCAGCTTCAAAGGGCTCTACACGATCCCAGCCGAAGAATAAGGGTCTTATCTAGCGAAACGATCGGTCATTTTAAAAATAAAAATAAAATAATCTATACTTTTTAACCACAAATGCTCATCTTGCACTAGCACTGTAAAATCATGGAATGTTTTCCTCAAAAACCTTAATTTCTTTTCGACTGAAGAAAGAAAGACATGAACATCTTGGATGATGTAAATTATGAGGAAATTTTAATTCTGAAGTGAACTACTCATTTAACACCATGTATTTTTAGAAATAAGCTGCATCTGAATATGCATACTTCCCTACTACGTGGTAGGTGAGAAACCGTATGTAAATGGTATGTCTGAATTCAGAATCTCAGCAGTACTAATAGGTCACTTTTTGCCTACCATTTCATAAATTGTGAAGTACGCATCCAATAAACACTTTACTATCCCATGACCCATGAGGCCATGGGAGAGAAGTTGTGAATGGCAGCAAAGCAATGCAACTGACACTGTAGGTCACATAACAGTGACAGCTTGACAGATGTAATACATCCATCCATACTTCACACGTTCATACTGTATAGAATGGTTTTTTTTTTTTTTTTATCTGCTGGAAAGTACAATTATCTTCCTCAGATAAAATCAAAGGCCTTCAAAATACCACTTAGTAGTTCCTGCAGAGAGGAATGCATTGCGTGTTGCAGCAGATGCATACCTCACATGGCCAGGTTGTTGCATTGTATATTTTGTTTTGGTTTGGAACAAAAACTTTCAGTCAGAATGTACTCAAGGACCTAAATTGAAACTCAAAATTCTTTGACAAAACCAGGCTCACAAAATGGCGGCAGTCATTCTTTTCTTTTGTGAAAGGTGAGCGAGTTTAGTCGCTTGGGTCAAAAGTGTTGCAGGGCTGTAGTTAAGCCCCTCTTTGGTTTAACGAACATTGTTTGAAAGTGTTATTGTGTGGAAGTCAAAGCCTTTTGATCCTAAATTTTTTAATGAGCTTCATAATGGGGATTCAATACGTCTAGCGATTTCATGTGAACAAGATTACCCTTTGGCCAGTTGAGCCAACAGGCTTTGTCAATACAGATGTAGAATTAGCTGACTAAATGCGTCTGAGTTGGTGTATATTTCACATATTTGCATGTGTGACGTTGGGATGGAGGGGAGGTTCAGGTTGGACAGTAAATGCTTTCCATCGAATTAAGTGCACCGTGTATTTGCTGTATAAATATTTCAAACAGGTACGTATATATAACCCAAAGTTATTTGTGTGGCTCTCAACTTTTTTGACTGCAAGACCCCACTGTCCACAACAATATTCGAAGGCCCCATCAATATTTCTTTCAAAATTTCTACCTGATAAAATATCTTCCATTTTACGTTTACATTTATTCATTTAGCAATGCTTTTATCCAAAGCTACTTACAAATGAGAACAACAAAAGCAGTTAAACTAACAGTAGACAACAATATGCAAGTGCTATGACCCCTCTGTTTAGTCTAACGCAGTCCATGTAAATAAAAAAAAAAAAATAGAATAGAAGATAAAGTGTTAGTATCAGTGTTTCCTCGATGATTTTTTCCAGCTGTGGTGGCAGGCCCATTTCCCCAGGGAGAGGGGGCGTGGCCCATGAGTGATATTCCCATGGCCACGCCCCCTTGCCCCAGGTGTTTAAACCTCCCCTAGGTATTATAATATGAAAGGCTCCAATAAGAGCGGCAAAGCGATTATGCGCATCCCGTGCGCAGAATGATGCACTTTAAGCAACGCGAAGTCACAGCGTGCAGCGCTTCGCATTGAAAAGTTCAAAGCACAAAGAGAAGAGAATACACTAAGCATAGATAGATATAATCTATCTATCCAACAGTTTATTGAGCCTTTTCTTTTAACAGTTTTAAATTTCAGTTACAGTGCGCATGAAGAACAATTCATAGTGCTTTCTACTCCAGTGCTGTAATCTAACAGACACCCGGGAGAAAGGAATATTACTTAGAAAGGGCAATAAACCCCAGCCAGATAAAGTCAATTTATGCAAACCATAGACCTTTATCTACAAATAAAGTATAATAATGGGAACATTGATCTTGAAGAGAGTGTCGTCGTGTTACTGTCGTAACCGAACGCGACGCGCTGTTTGAATGCTGAATGGAGAATGACTGAGGAGAGATGAGTTTCCATTAACTTTAACTTAACGACTTAAATATTAATTTTACCTCACATTATGCTATTGAATGACTTTAGAAGTCTTGGAATATAGGCCTAGTGCCAAAACTTTATTGTGCTTTACAATGTTTTGTATGCCTTTAGTGGGGCTTAACTAACACAATAGTATGCACAATATCGGACCTCACTGAGAAGCTGCAGCCGTGGCGGGATGATTTTAGGTGTGGCGGCCCGCCACGGCAGAATCAATGTAGCGGAAACACTGATTACTGGATCAAGTGCTGCTGAAAAAGATGTGTCTTCAGCAGTTTCTTGAAAGTGGCTACGGACTCAGTAGCTCTGGTTGAGTTAGGCAGATCATTCCACCAGCAGGGAACAGTCATGGTAAAGGTCAGAGAAAGAGATTTTGTGCCTCTTTGAGATGGTACCACAAGACGACATTCGCTTGCAGATATTACTGGCACATAAGTCTGAAGGAATGAGTTTAGGTTAAAGGGAGCAGAGTCAGTGGTTGTTCTGTAGGCAAACGTCAGTGACTTGAGTTTAATGCGAGGGGCAACTGGCAAATAGTGCAATTTTGTGAGGAGAGGAGTGACGTGTGCTCTCTTTGGCTCATTAAAGACCACTCTGGCTGCATCATTCTGGATCAGTTGCAGAGGTTTGACAGAGCAAGCCGGAAGACCAGCCAGGAGAGCATTACAATAGTCCAGTCTGGATAGAACAAGCGCTTGGACAAGGAGTTGTGTAGCATGCTCTGTTAGGAAGGGCCTGATCCTCCTAATGTTGTGCAAGGCAAATCTACATGACCGGGCAGTTCTAGCAATGTGGTCTGTGAAGTTCAATTGATCATCAATTACAACCCCAAGGTTCCTGGCTGACCTTGATGGAGTTATGGATGACGAGCCTAGCTGAATGGAGAAGTTGTGATGAAGTGTTGGGTTGGCCGGGACCACAAGTAGTTTTCTTTGCAAGGTTTAGTTGAAGGTGGTGGTCCTTCATCCAGCCAGAAATGTCTGTCAGGCAGGCTGAGATATGAGCAGCTACCGTTGGATCGTCAGGCTGGAATGAGAGGTAGAGTTGTGTGTCATCAGCGTAGCAGTGATAGGAAAAGCCATGTTTCTGAATCACAGATCCTAGTGATGTCATGTAGATGGAGAAGAGAAGTGGTCCAAGCACTGAGCCCTGAGGCACCCCAGTAGCTAGATGTTGGGTCTTAGACACCACACCCCTCCACGACACCCTAAAGGACCTACCTGATAGGTAAGACTTGAACCATTGGAGTGCGGTTCCCGCTGGTAAAATGTGTGTGTCAGTTTGTGGATTGGTAAATTGGCCGCTGATGGTGGTTGTTTTATCTATGAAGAATGTGGCAAAATCGTCAGCTGGTAGGGTTAATGGAGGAGGAGGGTTGAGAAGAGAGGAGAAGGTTTTGAAAAGTTAGGGTTAATGGAGGAGGAGGGTTGAGAAGAGAGGAGAAGGTTTTGAAAAGCATGCGAGAGTCAAAAGAATTGTTAATTTTGTTGTAATAGGAAGTAATTTTAGCAGTAGAGATATTAGCAGAGAAGGAAGATCTGTAGGATCTTTCTATTTGCGCCACTTCCTCTCTGCACCCCTGAGTTTAGAACGATGTTCGCGGAGAACATCAGATAACAAGGGGGCAGAGGGTGTGGCGCGGGCTGGCCTGGAGGAAAGGGGGCAGAAGTTGTCCAAGCAGGATGTTAAAGTGGAGAAAAGAGTATCAGTTGCACTGTTAGTATCTAGTGTTGAGAGCTGATCAGGTGGAGGAAGTGTGGATGAGACCAAAGAGGATAGGCGAGAGGGTGAAAGTGAGCGTAGGTTCTGCCGAAAGGTGACCTGTGGAGGAGTGTGTGTTGAGGTTGAGAGCGAGGAGGAAGTGATCTGAGGTGTGCAGCGGAGTGACCAGTGTATTGTCAGTGGAGCAGTAGCGCGTGTAAATAAGGTCCAATTGGTTACCTGATTTGTGAGTAGCCGCAGTAGATACTTGTTTGAGGTCTAATGAGGCAAGCAGGGTGTGGAAATCAGCAGCATGAGGTTTTTCTAGGTGGATGTTGAAGTCTCCAAGAACTATGAGAGGAGTACCATCTTCAGGGAAGGATGAGAGTAGCACATCAAGCTCCTCCAAGAAACTGCCAAGTTGACCTGGGGGACGATATACAACTACAAAATGGATTTTAATAGGACTATTGATGGTGATTGAATCTGATTCAAATGAGTTGTTGTCACACAGAGGTGGTAAAGGATCAAATTTCCAGCCGTTTGAGATGAGCACACCAGTACCTCCACCCCTTCCGGTCAGGCGAGGGGTGTGTGAGAAAGTGAAGGTAGTGGAGAGGGCAGCAGGTGTGGCAGTGTCCTCTGGTCTGATCTTACATTTCGGCATAACTACAAAAATGTGTATTCATTATAAATGCAGTCAATATTTTATTTTTATGATTCGGTCTAGAATTCACACTTTTAAAAAATAAATTAAAATAAAAAGATAACTTAAAGCCCCATTGGAAATGTACTGATGACTCCTAGTGGGCCCAGTCCCCTGGTTAAGAACCACTGATTTACCTGTACAATGAGTTACCTGTGTAAGGGTGGATTTCCTGCAGGGGTTCAGTCTGCAAGACTGCTGAATGACTAAAGAAACGTTGTCAGCAAGATGGTAGAAAACTGTACATTTCTTGTCTATTCCACCCACTGCTACTTATACCAACGATGGAAATAAGCACAGTTACAATAGCTTAATATGTGGGAGAGCGTTGCTATAGTGACAATATTGTATTGCAATAGCTAGCACTTCAAAGTCAATACCAAATCAAAACTAGTTAGCACATTATCACATTATTTGTAATTGAAAAGGTTTAATGACCAAATATGGTTATGGTTACATTTAAAGTAGTTACAAAATACAGTAGATGTATGAGATGATGATAATTTATACCATTAATCTTAGAGAGAGAGCTAGCGAGAGCTACATTCTTCTTTTATCCTTTCCCTGACCATGTGACTAAAACCCAAATGTGAGACATTCAAACTTCACACTAACAGATCCAGATAGCTTCACCCACATAGGGGGTAAAGCTAATCCCATGACAGTCATAAATCGATGATGCAAATTATAAAGCAGAGACAGACCTGCTATTACATTTCAAAATGTTTTAACTTTCTGATTGTTATTAGGGTGGTTGGAAAATCAGAGGGGCCCTGATTTCTCAACATAGCACTAATAACAGAAACATCACAAAAAAAAAAAACCCGGAGAGATCTGAAGTGTGAGCGCTTCAATTACAAAATTTACAATTTAGCCCTGCCATCGACTGTGACATAGCCAGAACACACGCACACGCACACTCACACACACACACTCACACTCGCACTCACACAGACACACACACAACTGTTGCAAGGAATTAACTATCTACATTTTTGAATGACTAAGCATGTCCAAAGTCACTTATGTCTGCATAGGTGGCTTGCATTGGAAGATTCCTTAACAAACAGTGATTATTATATATACATATGTATTTCTTCATATTTTTTGATTGAATATTGTTATTATATGATTTATTAATGCATTGAATCTTTTTGATTGTTTAGATTACACCGACCTCTTGCTGCATTTCCTTTGAGTAATTCAGGCCAAGAATATTTAAATTCCACTACCATTTAACATCATCACAGTGGTAGTGAAGAATTGGATATTTAAAATGGGACCACCCTACCTGACCTTGAGAAACACTTGAGACCAGATGTACCATTCGCACTTGCTGACATGAACATGATATTTTATATTGAACATGACATGATTTTGTTTCGTTGCATTATGTGTTCCTATGTATTTCCCTACGGCTTTAAGTTTATAAGTGCTCAATCGTGAAGTGGACATTTAAAGGGGTCATATAATGGTACATGCACTTTTACAAGTTGATTGTACTGAAATGTGTGTTGGCAGTGCCTGTACACAAACATCATAAAATGATAAAAATCCATCCAGTGTTTTTGTTTTAATCTCCTTATATGTTTTCCCCTGCCTCAAATCGAGCCGTTCGAGCCTGTGACGTCACAAGCTCGCACGCCCCTCCCACGATTGTTGAATGACAGCCGCGTTTCAACACAGACCCGCCCTCGCTCGTGAGCCAGCTGTCAATCATAGTCCGCGTGGACCGGCGCGGTCATTGTTGATATGCTGGAGCACTGTCTATGAGCAGAATGGCGTCTAAGCGATTGTGGTGTTCTGTTCTTGGGTGTAATAACGAACACAGCAGTCATTTTAATGTTCCTAAATCCGAACCGCTGAAGACGCAGTGGCTGAGTTTGTTTTCGAAGGGAATATTCCCCACGAGCAACGTCAATGATTTCATATTTGCGCAAATCATTTCACACACCAGACTGCTTTATAAACGAGGGTCAGTATAAAGCTGGTTTTGCTAAGAAGCTGCTCCTGGACCGGTACCAGCTATTCGTGTTCCTGCTGAACCTCCAAAATAACTGAAGTGAGTGTAACGTTTTATTAACCTTTAATATTTATATTAATCTTTGCAAATCGCTAGATGCACGCTTCACAATGAATGCGTCTAAGGTTTACACTCAGGGTACATTACGGCATGTTTTCTATGTACGACGTTCTCAATATAATTCATAATCCCATGTCTATAATGAACAACGCGTTATGGTTATTGTGTTACAAACGGTGTACACAGAACAGAGAGGCGGGGTGAGCAAAGCTCATGATCATTTAAAGTCATATGCACTGAAACGGCGTGCTGAAAACAGAGCTGTTTTTGACCAGGTAAAATAAGTGTTTTCTTACAATACTAATGAGAATTTTTAATTAAAGTATATTACAAAGTTTTAATTTAGACTCTAAAGAATCATATTAGCTTGTACAAAAATGGCATTATATGACCCCTTTAAGATGCTTTTCAGGCGTCTCACGCAAAGCAGTGTGGAACCAAGGAGAAACCCTTCATCCACTGAGGTCTGTCCAGACAACCGAGCCGCTGGAGGTGACTGGATTGGTCAAGAAGGGACAGATTATCGTCATGGGGAAGGTGCCACAGAAGCAGAAGGTTCTCCATGAAGAAATGAAACGTCAACTGAACAATGGTCACAAAGGTCCAGATTGACTCTATGGACCACAGGAAGAAAACCTGAACCCATTCATCCTGCTGAACTCAAGCTACATACACCTGGTGAGACCGGGTGTTCTGCAGGTGAACACAGCCCTCTGAAAGCCTCTACAGATGCTAACATTGCAAAGTCAATTTTTGAGTTGCATCTCAAGGATTACAACAAACGTCTTACTGTGACTGTAAGTGTTTATCTGAATTTGAATCAGATGAACACTTGAATCAAGTAGGGAAAAAGTGGTTGAGGAACGAGTGGACAAAGGATCTTGCTGAAAATTAACATTTGAACTCCCCCTCGTGCACTGAGACGAAGCTCTCACCTCCCTCATCCTAATCTACATTTCTCCCCCTCATTCTGCACTCTTGCAGAGATTACCCAAGAATCTAAATGGTTTTAATGTGAACAATCATCATAAAGTTTTATACATGTTTGGTATCATTTGAAATTTCTCAGTGCGACTGGTACAAATGTCTCATTTCCAAATAAGTGAAACAAAAGGTAATTTTAAGAGTTTTTAAGAGTTTAGAGATAACATACACACAAAGGAGGGTGGATGTTTAAACCCTCCTGCTCTCAGAAGGTGTTAACTCAATGCCAATTCCCACTGTTAGCAAATTGTTTCTATGTATATCAACCAGTGCACCTATGCAACCATTGTAGAGGTGGGGGGGAGGTGCAACCACAGAAACCGAAATTTCTCGGGACAGCAGCATCTGTCCACATTTTAATGTTAACCGTTCTATTTCATCAGAAACGATCTTGAAACAGGGCTTTAAGTGTAAAATACCGAACTTGTCCTTTAAGGTGAATTTCTACTGTGAACTCATGTTTACATATGAAATGGGGTCTGTCTATATAATGAAATGCAGCAAGGGGCTCTTGGCCTTTTCTGTACTTCAGATGAGCCCGTGAGGCTGAGAGAGGCCGAGTCTCTCAGCTTCATGTATTTCTTAAATGTCGGGTTCGCATTTCTTCTCTTTATTCCAGAGCATTTGATGTTTTGTAATGATTATCTTTGAACTGATCATGAAATTGGAATAAGTTTACCTGACATAATAAATTCTTACATTTGATTATTCTAACTGACTTTGACATTATTTCCAGTAAAGAGTTAAAGGAATATTCAAACATTCGCTTATATTTAATGATGCACAGATATCATTAAAAACCATTTATGGAGTTCAGATGAAATAACGAGAGAATACATATGAGAAATGTATTGCATTTAATCAAAAATACTTTGCCACGAGAAAACAGTAACACGCAGAGACCTTCACCCACTGATCGGATGCCTCCATTGGGCCGATCGAGCCGGGCTTTACAGCTGTAAAGCTAAAGCACATTTTTGGACAGAAATAATCAAAGTGCTGTAACAAATAAAATTAGCTTCTGCCCCATACACTCCTATTATAAAGAAACTACACATACAGTGATGTTTGAATTTATAATCTAAGTGACACGTTAATGATTTGGAATTGACAACATACCTAAATGGAAAAGATGGTTTCTGAAGTTATGAATGTGTTTTTCTTTTTTTTCTATCATTGTCTAGTGGCTAAATGCGAGTTCTTCAATGCCGGTGGAAGTGTGAAGGACAGAATCAGTCTGCGAATGGTAGAGGATGCTGAGCAAGACGGCATCCTTAAACCTGGAGACACTATCATTGAACCCACATCAGGAAACACAGGTGTGTGTTTGTTAGTTGTTTTTAACTGTTGAGAAACAGCCTCTGTTCCATTCCGTTTAATCCAGACACTGGAATGCTGGAGGACCAGTTAAACATGTCATGTGCCAACTAGTATGGCACCAAAGTCAAAGAATTACTGTACAAATATAGTCTGCTAATGGTTATTCAACATTTCTAACATTCACTAATCAACGAACGTGAAGATTATTGATCTTAAATCGTGATAGAGACTGATGGATAAGAAAAAAATCAAATGTTTTTCTATGCTCTCACTATTTCTTATATCCCTCCTTGTTCTAGTTTGTACTTTTCTGGACCATGTTTGAAACGTGGTATTGCTAGCACTTGAAGCTAGTTGAATTTTGGATAAAAGTGTCTGCTAAATGAATAAATGTAAATGTTTTGTTTTTCAGGTATTGGACTTGCCCTGGCAGCAGCAGTAAAAGGTTATCGCTGCATCATTGTTATGCCTGAAAAGATGAGCATGGAAAAGGTGAAATTATGAAAATAAATATGGTGTGGGTGTGAATTCACTTGATTTCTGAAGACTTCTGTCTATTTGTAATGCGTGTGAATGTGTGTTTGGATAGTCATGTGTTTCATGTCCTTGCATGGTCCCAGGTGGACGTGCTCCGTGCTCTGGGTGCAGAGATTGTTCGTACCCCTACCTCAGCCCGTTTTGACTCTCCTGAGTCTCATGTGGGTGTGGCTTGGCGTTTGAAGAATGAGATTCCTAATGCTCACATTCTGGACCAGTACCGTAATCCCAGCAACCCCCTGGCCCACTATGACACCACTGCAGAGGAGATTCTTGTCCAGTGTGACGGTAACTCTAGAATTTGTGTAGAAGCAACATTGTGACTTTTTCTAAATTAATCATTAACCTCTCGCTTCAGTCAGTTGGATTATTTTTATGAAAAAGCTCATAATTTACCATTGGTTCTCAACCAGGGACCCGGGCCCCAAACTCCCAGTAAGCCCAAGTAAGCCAGTCTTACAATTATTTAAATTTAGTAGGGCTGGGTTGTGACACAAATAAACATGTCTCCATTTGATTTTGATTCTCAAGCTTTCAATTCGATGTTGATTAATTTGAATATAAATCAGATACAGTACATGGCCAATTTTCTCAAGGAAAACTAATGCTGTAAACTATACAGAAAGTCTGTTGGTACTACACTATAATATTGAAGGTCAAAAAATTAAATGATTTGTACACAAACACTTAAATTACACCCAAGGAATTTTCATTATAAAAAAGTGATAATACTAACTTTACAAGTACATAATTCTGTTTCTGCTCAGCATAGACTAAAAGATCAATTCTTGGGATTTAAGAATTGATATTGGTTCTTCAAAATGAGAATTGATTAAAATTGAGAAATCATTTCTTTTTACCCAGTTATATTACAGTCATATTGTTGATTTACAACAGCTGACATCAGACAATATGGCCTAGATAATAGGGCCTTCAAATATTGACAAAAGGTTAAAGAAAAAGTCAAAAAGGTCAAGAATCACTGCATATGACTAATGTTGAAGCCACGTATTTGTGTTTGCCCTCTGTAGGAAAAATAGACATGCTGGTGGCTGGAGCTGGCACTGGTGGCACCATCACTGGCATCGCCCGCAAGCTGAAGGAGAAATGCCCTGATATCAAGGTGAGACTCAGATTGGTTCATGTATTTTGATACAGCTGTCAATGAACATGGTATCTTTTAGTTTATTTATTTATCTGATTTTACCTGATTTTAAGTATTTTGCCATTTATATTTTATTACTATTTCTTAAAGTATTCTTTTTTTTTAAATTAGCTTTTTTTCACATCATAGTTATTACTCAAAGGAATTCTGAATAAGCGTTACTTTGGAGAGACACTTGTTTCCACTTGCATTTATTTTGACACTGCCTATAATGTGTTTACATCTTTTCTCCTCAGATAGTTGGAGTGGATCCTGAGGGCTCCATCCTTGCTGAGCCGGAGGAGCTGAATAAGACTGATAAGACTCAGTATGAGGTGGAGGGCATTGGATATGACTTCATCCCCACTGTTCTGGACAGATCTGTAAGTGTGTATTTGCAGAGTAGGTTTTGATGTAGTTGATATACTGTAGTTGTACCTGATGTTTATTGATGGCAAATGACCCACCTTAAATGTTATCTCCTAAAATTGTTATGCCTTTCCAGTGGTTGCCATCCAACCTATTGTCATATTTAGCCTAGACCAATAAGGGTAGTTTTAAAGCAAAATTGTTAAAAAAAAATCCCATATACTGTATAGAGACAAGCTACTTAGAAATGATGCACAGTTATTTAAATATTTTTGTACATAATCTTGAAGTACATAGTTACTATTGCCTCTACTGTGGCTTAAAACAATATGTATCCAAGGATGTGTTCACATTTGTAGTTTGGTTCTTTTGGTCCGGAACAAAAAAGAAAATAATGCATTTAGTCCTGGTTCGCTTGGCATTCACACTATTATTTTTAACACAGACCCTAGCGAGAAAAAAAAGACCCCAGCTTTTGTGACATAATTTGCTACGGAACTGCTACGGAAAACAATTCTATTTGTTGGGCTAAATGCACTGTTGAATGTGCATGCATATGGTGGTATTTTAACTAGCTGAGAACTCATGAATGGCTTGTGTGTAAAGGAGTTAAAATAGCACCAGGAATTCCTCTGTTGCACACACAAACAAGATCTGCTGCACGAAATAGTGTACTGAACTGTAATGAATAACATTGCAAAATGACAAGAAGCAGGTATGCTTGAGCATTCGGTTCTTTTTAGGGATCTTGTGACATCACATCCTGTTTTTGGTTTGTTTAGATGTCTTTGGTCCGTGGTCATATTTCAGTCAAACGGCACCAGAGTTCGTTTTGAAAGTGGGTCTCGGTCCGCTTGTTTGGTGTCGCACCAAGGTCCAGATGGCAGCGTTCACACTTTTTCAAATTAACTGCACTAACAGAGCTAATCGCACCAGAGTTCGTTTTAAGCCACAGAGAGAATGTTGTAGAAACGTTAGGAAACCTTCTGTTGACTTTCATAAGTGTTTGCCAGTTTTTATTTGCAGTCTGCACCATTTTTGATCATGATACAATATATTTGATCAATTTCCCAAATGAAAATGGCAAATAATAGATGTTTTGATGTAGGGCTTGGCGGTATGACTATATATATCGTTACCACAGTATTAAATGTCTATCGTTAGAGATTTTGTTATATTGTGTACGCGGTATGTAAATGTATAGCACTATTGATACTTCAATAGATGAAATGCATGAATGAGAATATTAAGTGGGATATGCTTGATTTTTAAATAGTTATAGTTATAAGTGTAATATATCCTGAAAAGGAACTCGGTGCGGTGCTCGTTCTGACTGGCATGCTGCCAAAGTGAGAAAACTTTGAGAAACTTTGAGAAGCTGACCCTGTCCTTGCGTCCCTTTTACCTCCCAAGGTAATTCCCCCCTGTTGTTGTCACCTGTACGTACATCCCTCCTAGTGCTAACATCAAGGTAGCCGCGGAGATACTAGCCGAGGTGGCTAACTCCATGCTACCCAAGTACCCTGAGGCACCAGCGTTTATTTTAGGGGACTTTAATAAATGCATCCTCGGTGACGTACTGCCGTCCTTCCAAAAATACGTGGATGTTCCCACAAGAAAGGAGAACACTCTGGACTTGTGTTATGGTAATATAACTGATGCCTTCAGCGCTCGGGCTCACCCTCCACTCGGCTTCTCTGACCACAATGTCGTGTTCCTCCTTCCGCAATACAAACCAGAACTGAAACGCATCAAGCCACAAACGCACAGCGTCACCCAATGGTCGGAGGACGCAATTGCACAGTTGCAGGGCTCTTTTGCCTGCACCGACTGGGACGTTTTTCAGGGAAGTTTGGATGAGCGGATTACACTAATTATGGACTACATTAAGTTCTGCATCATGACAACTATTCCGACAAAGAATATCACCAGATATCCAAATTCTAAGCCCTGGATCACCCCTCATATCAAGCTCACTCTCAAACAAAAACAAAAAGCTTTCAAGCAGAAGGACTGGGTCACTCTCAAACTACTTAATAGACAGACAAAAAATTACATCACTAAAGCCAAAATAAAATATAAAGATAAAATGGAGCAAGAATTCAGTAACATGAACACAAAACAAGCTTTTCAAAGAGTCAAAATACTAACTGGACAGGAACAAAAACAGAACCACATCACAGCACCAGACCCATTAACCTTTGCCAAGACCCATTAACCTTTGCCAACACCCTAAATAACTTTTTTGCTCGGTTTGACACCCATGACTTTTCTACCACATGTGAGGACTTGCTCAGTGCCCTCCCCCGCCAAGACCCCACACACCCACCCTTCACAGAGGAGGATGCTTAAGCACTGTGCCATGGAGCTCTCTCCCATCTTCCACACCGTCTTCTGGGAATCGTATTGGACAGCCTCAATACCCACCCTATGGAAAACCTCAACCATTGCACCAATCCCAAAGAAACCACGCCCCTTAGAGCCTAACCACTATCGACCGATTGCACTGACACCCATAATCATGAAATGTTTGGAAAAATTAATCCTCCACCTCATCCTGCCAACTGTCAGACAACACCTGGACCCACATCAATTTGCATACAGACCCAGACGAGGTACGGAGGACACAGTGGCATGCCTTCTCCATCCTATTCTTTAACACCTACAGACATCTGGAAACTTTGCCTCAGTCCTCTTCATTGATTTCAGTTCCGCTTTCAACACAATCCAACGTCACCAGCTCATCAAGAAATCACATGACCTCAATATCCCCCCACTTCTCATTGTACATGTACACATCAAAATCACCACCTGGACTGAACCATACCCACATCCACGGTCAACTAATCGAACAGGTCAGTAGCTTTAAATACCTGGGACTCATTATAGATAATACAATCAACTTCAAGGAACATGTCACTGCCATCCAGAAACGTGCACAACAAAGACTGTTAGACATGAACTGAAAGCCCTCTCTGTTGCCCCACATCTCCTGCTCCTACTTTACAAAAGCATCATTCAACCCACCCTGCTGTACTCCTCAACCTGTTTCTACACAATGTTAACCGTGACTTGCAAAAACAAACTCACTAAAATCACACATATTGCTTCTAAGATTATCAATCTCCCCACACCCAGCCTATCAGACATGAATGACACAGCCATCACACGCCTAGCACGCGCAATAGCAGCTGACACAGACCATCCCCTGAATAAATTCTTCATACTACTCCCATCCAGTCGCAGATACAGAGCACTAACCTGGACTAAAGCCTATTTCAAAAAAAGTATTGTCCCCACCGCCATCACAGTGCTGAACAAACTGTAATGCTGCCACCCCCCACTTCAGTTGCCTTGCAGTTTTCACATTTGATGTGTTTATCTGGGTCTCTTTATGAGCTGTGTGTTTGTATAGGTATTTGGATATGTGTTACATGTTCTATGTGTTTCCTCATATGTGATATTTCTGTGCTATGGAAGAAGGGAAAAAAGCATGTGTGAAAATGATTATCCCTATGGGACAATAAAGACTCCTATCTATCTATCTATCTATCTATCTATCTATCTATCTATCTATCTATCTATCTATCTATCTGAGAACTGCCTCAGAAGGCGATCGTGAATTTGGGGCGTACATGTGAGATGTTAAAAAGCAAAATAAGCAGTGAAAAGACATCCAGCGTAAGCTGGTGCACAGAAAGCTGTATCTCTCAGCATGTGATTGCGAATTCAGTCCTCTTTCATGTCTTATTGCTCTTAAATGGTCGAATACACTCGCAATTATGTCAAAATGCCCTTCGTGTGAAGTAGTCATGTAAACACAGCCAGTAATGTCTCAAGTGAAAGTAAACAGTTGGGTTTTGTCTTAAAGTGACAGCAGCCTAATATACCTACCTCCTGCTCTGTCATTAATGTGAATCAAACAAAAGAAAAAATAACTAACTTCTCTTGACTGGATTTTTTTTTTTTTTTGCCTTAAGAATACATTTTTATTTAATTAATACGGTAAAGACTATGCATTTATTTTATTTTTACATTTGATTATCAACTACATGTTCAATAAACCTATTGTACATGAGATTTTTTTTTTTTTAATTCATTATTGTATTTGTCCTATTGTTTGTAATTTGCTTCTTTTTTTTTTCTTTTTTTTAATAACAGAAATGAGATAAAATAACTATACCGTGATATATATCGTTATCGTGAAATAAGAATTTGGTCATATCACCCACCACTATTTTGATATCACACTTAAATCATGCTAGACAAAATCCTTTAAGTGTGTGGTGCACATTTTCTGTCTCAGGTGGTGGATAGGTGGTACAAGTCCAATGATGATGAGTCCTTTGCCATGTCTCGTATGCTAATCAGACAGGAGGGTCTTCTGTGCGGTATGTGACTCGTAATGCATCTCTCACATTTAATGTGTGTGAAATTGTGTATCTAAAGTCTGTTCTCTATCACTCTTTGTAGGTGGTAGTTCAGGCACAGCCATGTCTGCAGCAGTGCATGTGGCCAAAGAGCTGAAGGAAGGCCAGCGCTGTGTGGTGATCCTTCCTGACTCCATCCGCAACTACATGTAGGTTTCGGTGTTCCCAGCATTCTAGTGTGCTTAGCTGTGATGTTAATGTGTGTTTTGTGTTGCCTGGGCGATTAAGCAACAACAATACTATTGTGATGTTTTAGACTTAAACCAAGACAGCCGGTATGTTCAGAATTATATGCCACTGTTCTACCAGAGTTGAGAATCTGCTTTAAAGCTGTAGCTTCCCAAAATACAAGCTATTTACGGTTTTATGTAGTCTTGTCTACTGAACTATGCTAATCTTAAGATAGTGGTTAAATGAGTCAGTTAGCTGCACAAACCGTATCAATGTAGTTTATACTTTTAGAGGAAATATCTTTTACCAATGTATATCTATTCAAAACAAAACCAACAAGGATTTTAGCATGATGTTTAACAAGATTAAACGGATACATTTACACTACGGTACACACAACTAATAAAACTAGAGAACACACACCTTTATATAATAGTCAAAAACATTGTGATGAACAGCAGCTGTTAATCAGCGTTTTTATAAATGCATACATGCGCGCACACACACATTTAATTTACATAAAGCATCTAAAATAACCATTTTACTAAAACATACTTTTTTTTTTTTTGAAAAACAAATAGTGATTTCAGGAAAAATAACTACTTTTAGTTAAATACTCCCCAATACTGCATGCTTGTAGTACACATACTGCATTTGAGGAACCAATACATAGTATGCATATTTTCCCACTGTGTTGGATACTGTTTCCTGGGGTTGCACTATTGATCTAAATAAAACAAATATCACAATACAGCTTAGTGTGGCTATCAAATCACATGGGCTGTGATTTAATTAAATATGTACGCTGGGTGTTTCAGCTGTGTTCAGTTGCATGTTATCCAGTGTCTCAGAGCAACTGTTTACAGTAAATGCTGCTCTACATGAACTCATCTCTGCATCTGATATGAGTTTGAGCAAAGTCCTAGTCTCTGGTTTGAGTCACTTATAACATGCATTTGATGCAGTGCACCCAGCATTCCACAGAACTGAAAAGCCACTTGGTAATGTAAACATAGTTCAGCGTGGGTCATGTGACGACAATGTACCATGCTTTTGAAACTGTGGTCTGAACTGTTTATTGTTGCATACTATATTTTGCAGTAGGCTATATGTTAGTACACTCTTGGCTTGTCCTAAATGCTTTGTTCTCCCCCTTAGGTCTAAATTTCTTAGTGACAAGTGGATGTGTGAAAAGGGCTTCCTGAGTGAGGAGGATCTTGTTGTCAAGAAGCAATGGTGAGTGTATACACACATACGCATGTTGTCTTTGGAAGCACCCTTGTCATTTATACACTGATATCCTCTGCAAATATAGTCTCTCTGCGTCTGTTATTACACTAGGCTGCATTACTGCTACAGTTAAGCTTCTATATGTGGAGGCATGTTCACTCTCCCAGATTACTCCGGATGTGTGTCATCTTACCGTGAGCTTTTACTGTCTTTCTCCCTGCCCTCATCTCTCGGTAGGTGGTGGAATCTGACTCTACAGGAGCTCCGACTCTCCGCCCCCCTGACTGTGCTGCCTTTAGTGTCCATCAAGAAGACCATTCAGATCCTGAAAGAGAAGGCCTTTGACCAAGCACCTGTGGTGGATGACGCCGGGTAGGTCATTCATTCAGAAACCAGTTATGTTGTTAACCTATTATGTACTGCGTTAATAAAGATATCTGAAACAATGAGGAGGTGAAATCCATCAAAAACCTTGTTTAAAAAAAGTTCTTATTACATATCAATACACCAAAAAAAATTGTATAATTGTTTTCAAATACAAATCCTATATTTATAAAAAAAAAGAACAGTGAACATAATTTTACAAGTGGTTAATTAATAAAAATAAATTAAGAAACTCTTAAACTCTTTTTATTTTAGGTACACTTGGGTACATTAAAAGAGGACCCGACTCTGTTTCAAATGCATACAATGAATAAACAGGATTTTGATGCAAGATGAATGATTGATGCTGAAAATGGGACAAGTCAGAACAGTCGCATGCCTTGATCAAACAGGATCAGGTTATTTTATGTTTAAGATAAAACAAACATAAAATCTCACAGCATTAGCTGCAACATGGAGGCTGCAAGCCTATGAACAGTGTAGGAAAAGTAATACTGGCTTTTGGGTGATAGTTAAATAAATATGGGAAAAAAATCGATTTGTGGCCTTTGAGAATCGATTTTGAATCGACCACATTTTAAAAAACGATTAATCAAAAAAATCTATTTTTTTGCCCTAATATTAATAGTACTTTATTATTTTGTATACAAATATTTTTCAAAGATTATTACTAATTAATTCAGATATTGAAAACTTTCATAATAGAGTCAATGTCAATATAGATTTTTTTTCATTATTATTATTATTTAGTTATTTTGAATAGGTTCATACATTCTGATATCCTGGACATTTGTGTACCCAAGCACTGCTCATTTGACGTCTCCCTGATTTATATCATCGTCTCATTAGAGGCTCCAAGTGTTTCGGACAACGGAGACACCTGAAATGTACAGTGCTGATGTCTTCCAGGACCAAGATTGAGACTTAATAGATCTGGACTAAAACATGACTGGGGTGTCATGTCATTGACCCAAAAATAACAAAATGATCTAACAGATGGAGGAAGAAATAAGTGGAGGAAGGTGTGGCTCAATCTGGTTTCTGGTTTTCTCCCTGTAGGCAGATTCTGGGCATGGTCACGTTGGGGAACATGCTCTCGTCGGTTCTGGCTGGGAAGGTTAGGCCATCTGATCCCATAAGCAAAGTTCTCTACAAACAGTTTAAACAGGTGGGCGCACACACACACAAACAAACACACACCCCTTTCTGTCATTCTGTACATGCAGCAGAAGGTTCAAGAAAAAGTATTCACACAATTTGTTCAAATAAACCTTGAGACATCGGAAATCCTTATAAGTGCATGTTATTGTGATAGTGTTTTTTATTTCCCCTCTGGCTCTAAATGAGGGTAACTTGGATCTAATTATACGATTGTCTATAACGAAGACTTCTCTGGTTTTTGAGCCTTGGATGAAGGAAATAATAATGTGTTAATTTGACATGTCAGAGTAAATATCAGTACACCGAGTGTTATTTAATAACCAGTTCTGGCAGAGGTAATGTGATCTCTCAATATTCAACTTGTCTGTCATGCTGTAGGTGCGCCTAACTGATAACCTGGGCAAACTCTCACGTATCCTGGAGACGGACCATTTTGCCCTTGTTGTGCACGAACAGATTCAGTGTAAGTCAAGTTCTTTAACTCTTTGTTCCACCTTTTCCCTAACCAATCTCCATTTTCTTATTTTTAGTCCCGAACATTACATGTGTGTGAGGTTCTGGTAAACCCTACGGGGAAATGTCCCCACAAAGATGGCAATATCTGAAATCCTTGTCCTTGTGGGGACATTTTCCATGAGGAAAACTGCTTATGAATCATAAATCACCTTTCTATGATGTTTAGGATTAGGGGATAGAATATGCAGTTTATACCATATAAAAATAATTGTCTATGGAAAGTCCCCCCAAAACATGCAAACCCATGAAAAGTTAACAACACTAATAATAAGTATAGCTGCAAGCAGCAATTATCGGGGCAGAGCGCAAAGAAGACCAGACATGCCAATATGGCTGGGAGTGTCAGACCAACTGCAACAATGAGAAATTTAAAGACATTTAAAGATGATTTTAGGCAAAATGTCAAGTCATCTTCATTTATATAGCGCTTTTAACAATGGAGATTGTTTCAAAGCAGCTTTACAGAGATAAACATACAATTTACGGTAACAGAGATTGTTTTGGCTTTATAGCGATTTTTGAACAATGTTATTTCCAGCTAAAGTTGGTTTTGATTGATTCACTTCCAGCAAAATTATCATTTGTTATTACATTAGGGGCCACTAAGACGACGGCGTTCTCTCTAAACCGACTTTAAACGCGAACCTGTGACCTGATGGCGTTCACATGCGCATTAAAAATTGATTCTATAGTTATATTCGTTTGAATATGTGTGCGCAGGTTTGTAATTTCCCTACAAACCATGCCTAAACAAACTACTTGTCTTGCCTATAAATTTGATACAGAATTTTATTTTATCACTTCGGGGTACGCGAACCGGATTTTCAACAACGCTTTATCTGTAGAGTGGGAAAGGGATCCTCCATAGGGAGAGGATAGTTGACACTTCAGCACTGCATTGTCATCGGGTCCAGGCGAATCTCCTTCGTCAGATCTGGATACGGCCTGGATCCGGCAGGCTGCAGGAAAACCTCGGGATAAACAAAGACACTAAAGTTAGCGTAGATGCCATTCTTCTTATGATGTAACGAGTACATCTGGATTTAAGGGAAGTGTTCCCAGTTCCGGCTGACCTAATCTATGCAGCCTAACATTGAATTATCGAAGTCTATAATGTATTATGTGTATGCTAGGTCAAAGAGATGTGTTTTTAGTCTAGCTTTGAACTGACAGAGTGTGTCTGCTTCCCGGACAATGGTAGGAAGACTGTTCCAAAGTTTTGGTGCTAAATAGGAAAAGGATCTACCGCCAGCAGTCGATTTTGATATTCTAGGTATTATCAACTGGCCGGAATTTTAGATCGCAACCGGGCTAATATGGTCATATTTCCTGGTTCTGGTAAGAACTCGAGCTGCTGCGTTTTGAACTAGCTGTAGTTTATTTATTAAGCGTGCAGGGCAACCACCCAGTAGAGCATTACAATAATCTAGCCTTGATGTCATGAACGCATGAACTAATTGTTCTGCATTTGTTAATGAGAGCATATGACGTAATTTAGATATGTTTTTAAGATGGAAAAATGCGGTTTTACAGATACTAGACACGAGAGATTGTGTGTCAGACATTCAAATGAGAGATTGGTATCAAAGAGCACACCCAGGTTCCTAACTGACGACGAAGACTTAACAGAGCAGCCATCAAGTGTTAGACAGTATTCTAGGTTATTACGTGTGGAAGTTTTTTTGTCCAATAATTAGAATCTCTGTTTTTTCAGAATTTAGTAGAAGGAAATTACTAGTCATCCAATTTTTTATATCGGCTATGCATTCCGTTAATTTTGTGAATTGGTAAGTTTCGTCGGGGCGTGAAGAAATATACAGCTGAGTATCATCGGCATAACAGTGAAAACTAATTCCATGTTCCCTAATGATATCTCCTAATGGTAGCATGTACAGAGTGAACAGCAACGGTCCTAGTTGTCTGAATGTCTGAAAAATCATATATACAGTAACTAAAAGTATGATTTAATGGATTATCAAGACACATACCGAGTTTTGTAATGGTACACCAATGCATTCGTAGAGTGTTGCATTTAATATCATGATATTATATTGTAATTAATGGCAATGTCCTTGTTTTGTTCTATGATAGCGCCACCAAGTGGCGCAGTTCCACCGCTTTTTTTTGTGTGTTCTCAGAGTGAGCCCATACATGTGTCTCAAATTTGGTGAAAATATCTCATTTTGTTTTGGAGTTATAGACCTATGTATGAGAGCATAAAAAATGACCTATGGGTGACTTTGATTGGGCATTAGTGTATAGCCAATGACCTATGTTTCCAAACCGACTACGGTGGTTTTTCTCGATCGGTCTAACGGTTTCGAAGATATTGGCAAATGTTTAAGCGTTAATATACAACATTCCGCTAACCATAAGGCAAAACATAGAATGTTTGGTATCGTTAGACTCGGCAAGTATTCGGGAATGTAAGGAGATGACTCCTGTGAAAATAAGTCAACCAAATCCAAAGTTATAAGTATGTAAATAATTTCCGGTTTTCTGGTCCGAAACTTCTCAGACTCTTTCAGAGCATTGTGCCGATGACCCATACTAAGTTTTGTAAAGATACATTTATGAATCTAAAGAGACCACTTTTATGATTTTTGGACAAACCAAAGTTATAACCAAACCAAACCTAGCCATTTTTCGTATCTCCGGACTAGTAGGTGGCGCTGTGCCGAAACGCTGTGGCTCCTAATAAATGTTTCTTGAGCATAAAATCAGCATTTAAGAATGATTTCTGAAGGATCATGTGACACTGAAGACTAGAGTAATGATGCTGAAAATTCAGCTTTGCCATCACAGGAATAAATTGCATTTTAAAATCTATTCAAATAGAAAACAGTTATTTTAAATTAATAATATTTCAAATTTGTTGTGCTTGGGAGCACTTCGACTCGGCGCAGTAATATTATCACTCGTGAAAAATCCTCTCCCTCTCCGGAGTGATGATATTACTGCGCCGAGTCCATAGATATATATGCGCCGAGTCGAAGTGCTCCCAAGCACTTGCTATGGTATTCCGCCATACAATATAGTTATCCACTTTACATGCTTAGAAAAGCGCAACGTTTTATTTTGTGTCACTGTCCTAGGTCGAGTTACACTACTCGTGTAACTGTATTTAAATAGGGAAAACGTGGAGGTGTTTGCTCGCTTCTCTGCGTGGCCCATATTGAATGAACTGGGTTAGTTAACACTAGAAGTGCCAGAATTCCATAACTACTAGAACAGCCACAAGCGGTCATTTTGACCGTTAGATTGCGAACTCTATATCTTTAATGATAAATACCCAATTGAGAGATTAATGCATTTATTGTATTAGGATATCTTTTAAAAACAAAACAACACCAAACTGTACATTTAAACAAGTTTAATTATACATTTATAAATAATAATATCATTGGTAGGCTAGCCCGTAATTTCTCGCATATTCACAACAGATAGGCTATATTCCATAGGCTATCCATTGAACATAACTCAGAACAAGATAATAACTAAAAGTATCTTATTTAGATATTCCTTTGACAGTGAGAGAGACAATGTCACGGTTTATGGATTCGCTGTCTCCTTTCTCGTCTTGTTGTGTGTGTGTGTGTGTGTGTGTGTGTGTGCGTGGTCGCTGATCATTGCCGCTGATCAGCACGCCCGCTGCTTGTGATCAACGCGCCAGCTATAGCGGATCAGCGAACCCTTTTTAGTGTCACTGTGACTGTTTTCGCCTAGTCTTTCTCAGACCGTCGTGGATGTTTTTCTGCGTGTTTGTTCCCTGTCTGTATCCGTTTTCCGTGTGTCATCCATCCGTGTTCAGCACTCCATGGTTCTACACTCCATGGTTCTACACGCAGCGTCCCATAAGCTGCCAAGGGCTTCATACCGGACATTTGCACACCTTAACTCTCCCAGCATCTGACCAACTCTCAATAAACATATCTGTCATTTTGCAATTGAATCTTCTGATTATTTCCTAATAGACACGGTCAACCACGGGAAATGTATCAAAAGAATACCGTGAAATTCAGTGCGGTCAATATGACCGTCTATGGCCGAAATAGGTAAATATGTTCATTTGTTTTTTTGCCTTATGTGTAATTTATATTAAACACATTTTAAATGAAAATACAGACACTTTTAGGAAAAGTCAGGTCCCAGCAGGATTTTATTTATTTTTTCAACAAAGTTATTGCTGATATAAAATTCAAAACGGTCAAAATGACCGTCGTGGCCGTTCTAGTGTTAAGTGCTATCAAAGTGTCTCACGCGCCAGAGCGATTGAGTGCACGCACTGAGACGAGAGAGGTATGTATCAACTCGTCTTAGTTAAGGGAATAACATAGTTTAATATAGTTAAAGGGATACTCCACCGTTTTTTCAATGTAAACAAATGAAACCTTATTGTAGTGTTACCAAGACTTCTTTCAGAAATATTAAAAATTCCCCCAAACTTTTGAACGCTAGTGTATATTTGGAGCTTATTTAAAAGGAGTGTCTATTCACAGAGGCTATTTACAGTAACTCCGCCCACTGACGTCTTGTTGGGCCAGACAAAATTACGGAAAAAGCTGGATTGTCCTAAGTAGCAATAGTGTAGGGGTAAGAAGCGTGGTAGAAAGTTTTGACGCAAATTGACCCGAGTTCAAATCCTCCTTTTGCCGGACTCTCTCTACACCCTTTTTCCCATCACATATCAGATCGGAAAGGCATTTATTTTCAATAAAAATGAAGAAAATTATTCAAAAAGTGGAAATAAAGTTTCTAACGTGTTTAAATAATAAAGTTTATCGGTTAGGTGTAGGCAGGGCAGATAGGGAGGTCCCAATAAGGCAGCATCCGTTTAATAATTTAAATAAATATAATAATTTAAACTGCAATTATTGCATACCATTTATTGTACAACACTGAGGTGCAAATAGTATCTGCCACTATTTATAAGTGTAAATGGCATCTAACTACTATTTACACTTATGTAAAAATAGCATGAATACATTTTCTTTGCAATGTTTTCTTAGTGTAAATAGCATCTATCGCTAAGTAAAAATAGCATAGTGTAAATAGCATCTAGTGTAAATAGCATCTACTGACCTGTTAATCATTGTGATTGCATTCTCTGGTAAAAAACAAACAAAAAAAACTCTATATTAAAATAGATTCGCTAGTCAATAATTATCTGTTAAACCAGGGTATTGACACTTCCCAAAAACTCAATGCACTGGATGCATAGCCTTTAATGTCAGTGCTTTATACAATCAAATCATCCTTCATCATCCACTTGGTAGAAGCTGCCAAATTAGATGCCAGAATGCCCTCAAACAAAATGTGACTCCCTTCAATACAGATTACATTTAGTAATGTATTGGGTCACCACATGATGTACAATGTAAAGTTTGGGTCCTAAATCAAAACCATTGGTGAATGTAAAACATTGTCAAAGAAGTGCCATAGTCTAGCATCTATATCACATGACGAATTAACAGGTATTTTACAAAATGTACAAAGTCTTTCCATACAAACTGCAGCACTAATCAGGAATAAAAGTCTTATTCATAGAGCTTAATGCAATACAGCACCAATTCGTGATACAGGACACGTGTTTTCCTGAACTTCGGATCACTGCGCCCCTCTATTTGCTCTTTGTGGCAAAGGGACATTACACCTGCTGTGGCATATACTCAGCCAAGTGCTAGAAGGACACCACTGTGAACTTTCCATTTTCTAGCTAAGGTTAACAAACATTACATAAGAATACAGGGCGGGACTGCTTTTATAACTTTCATAACATCATCATTGTAAATGAAAATAATAATGTTATTGTAGCATCACTGACATACTTGTGGGTAGTACTTTACAATCAGTGTTGGGGAAAGTTATTTTTAAAAGTAATGCATTAATATTACTCCCTGAAAAAGTAACTAATTGTGTTACTTTTTATGGAAAGGAATGAGTTACTTTTGCGTTACTCTTTCTCACCTAGGCTGGGCCTTTTACACACAGTGAAATTAATAAGCCTCAGGCTGAAGGAAATGCAAATTCACATCTGTAAAGTAGAGGGTGCAGCTTAAACGTGCCTTTCAGCTGTGCTGCCATTCAGGATTGCAGAAGAATGGGACGCAGGAGAAAAAAATGTGGTTTATCTAAAGTCATGTTTGCTTATTCGCATGGTTTAATTGGATCATCGAAGGTCATCGGCAAAGACATTGGTTAATAAAGTGAGAGAAAATACATGAAGTATATTTGTGTAATTTTAACATATTTAATTATTGCAGGTTTGCATAATATTGAGTTTGCATTTAGCTGTTTTTATTGAATTTGAGACGAGTAAATGCATGCTCACGTTTAGTCTAGAGCTACAATAACCATCATGTTCACACAGCGCACACAACGCCTCTGCACTTTCTCCCTATTTCTCTCAACATGGAGACAGGAGAGCTGTCAGTCAATAAATGGGGAAGCAAAGTAACTTGCGTTACTTGTTTGAAAAATAACTCTGATATTTTGTTGTAAATTTAAAAGTAATGCGTTCCTTGAAAAAACTTATGACATAAATCTTGTTACTTGTAAATGCGTTAACCCCAACACTGGTTACCAAAAGGTTTAATTTGTTAAAATTTGAAATTAGTTAACTACAGTAATTAACGTGAACAATACTTGTACCGCATTCATTAACCTTAGTTAATGTTAATTTCAACATTTACATTAAGATCAAAATTTGTATTTGTTAAAACAGTTAATGCACTGTAAGTGTAAACTAACTTGTACATTATCCCTTACTTAATTTTAGTTAATAAAAATGGCCCATGTTCATCCGGCCGGTTGTTATCTTAGAATAAACCCCGATAGGGTGATGCGGAGGGGTCTTGCATCAGCCTGAAGGGGGTTTATTTGGAGATAACAGAATATCTCAGATATTCTCAGATACTCGGTTTGTTTTATCTATTTATTTATATATTCAGTTAGTATTTATTTTATTTCATTTCAAGTAAAGAAAATGTTTTTTTTTAATGGTTTTAATTACGATAATAACCCAGGACCCTGTGCAGATTAAGTGCAGTGATGTCATTGCAGTGGATGGTGTCCGCAGTCTGAATTGCAGTTCCTGTCTTACAGACATGAGTAATGGATCCCCCAAGATGAGGCAGATGGTGTTTGGGGTCGTGACAGCCATTGACCTGCTGAACTACGTGGCCACACGTGAGAGGAGGGAACGCTCGCTGTCCGAGTGCTCTCTGTCTGAAGAGCAGTGAACGATCAAGAGTGTGGGAACACAATGGTGAAGCGTTGTGTTTCTCTCTCGCTCCTTTTTTTATTTTTATTTTTTATTTCTTTTATTTCTCTTATTTCTCGGTAAGTGACAAGCTCAGTTTTAAAGAATCAGCCTTTTTTTTTACAAGAGGCAGTCAATATAATTGTACATGTCATTCGAACAGATTTGTACTCGGTTTACTTGATTTTGCTCTTCTTTGGTCTCTCTTAATTTTTTGTTCATTATGTTGACTGGTTAACAAAGCACCTAAACTGAAGTAATCTCACAGGTCATTTAACCACCCTTTGCAAATCTGATTTTATAGAGGTGTATATATTCAAATTAATGTACTTCAGTTCATTCTTTCAAAAACTGCATGCAGTTTAGTATTTTTGGGTTTAGTTGAAGTGTTAGATTCAGGTGCTCTCTTGTCTGATCTACAGCTACGTTGCCACCTAGTGACTGCAATACTTTACAACAATCATGGAGACTTCTATCTTCATCAATCATGCTCTGCTTCTTGGCACAATGATCTCTGCAGTGTGTGGGGAGTTTTGCAGGCATGATTAATAATATTTGACAAAGCAAATAATAAGTGTGTTTGGTAAACCGAACTGCACCCAGACAGGGTTACTTGGTATTTTTCTTGTATTGAAACAAGATACGATATAGAATGTAAATAAATAATGGTGGTTCGGACTTGCTTAAAACACACCACCTTGTGTTAAGCAATTTTGATAATTATTTTCATTTTTCTATGTTCTTATTGTCTGATGTCTTGTAAATCAAAACTGTAACTTCTTGAGACTGAATAAGATTGTTTGTATAGGAGTCGATGTTAAGTGAATGTGCATTAGGTTGATGTTTATGTTTATGGTTTTTGTGCATGCTGCTGGAGGTCTCCGGATCAGACTGTCTTTACTCTTCTGTTATGATGTTCTGTTATTTGATTTAGCTTTTACTTGAATCTTATTGCTGTAACAAATACTGGTTACAAATAAAGGCTTTATTTCCGGAAGCAATAGTGGTTGTGTGAATTGTATTGCCACTACACTTGTCTTTCTGCCTTCGAAGGAAACATTTGTAACGGAACATTTTATTCTGGCTGGTGAGAATTACAGGTTGTGATCCTTCTCGGTCCGTGTAACGCTTTGCAGTTCTTTGTTCAATTTGCACCATCAAAATTAACCAAATGAAAAATTGGCTTCGAATTTTCATTTTCCATTTTTTTTAAATAATTCACAAACGGATAATTGTCTCTCAGTTTAATTTTCAATTCTACACGCTTGGATTGTTGCGTCCGAGTCTGGTTTTTGAACAAACATAAAAAAACGACTCATTGCTCTGATTTTCCATTTCTCTGTGTTTTGCTCGCGGTTGGACCGTACCAGTTCCGCCGGGGATGGAGCGGGGGGTGCACGTGGATGCATTTACGCAGAGCGCTGTAGCGTTATGTATGGCACGTGTGAGTCTGACCATGAAATCATTTAGTGCAATGTAATTTAGAGTGGATGTTAATGCGCGAGAGCGACTCTCTTCGCAGGCGAATTCCCTCTCACACGAATCTCGGGGCGCGCTTTTTATTGCGAGTGCACGCTCAATCTTGGTCCTTTTGACTCAATCTCAATATTTTTTATAGAATTGTCTTATCTCTTTTATAATGTGTTCATAAGTTGTCGACAAACAGAATAAGACATCACCGATTATTAAATAAAATAAGGATTTATTATACAAGTCATCATTAGTAGGCTAATTATTGTTTTAGGTATTTATATATAGGCCTCAGTGGCGGCTCCTGCAAAATCTCTCAGGGGGGGCAAATGTTTGGATTATTGATAAGGATAAGGTCCACCCATGCAATGGATAAATTAACAGCTTAAGCATGTAAAGGCAACTTCTCTACTTTAAGATTGTGTTGCAGACCTGACAAAATAAATACATTTATTTTAGTTATAAAATAAATTATTTATTATAATATAAATATAGAGATACAAGGTTTCCATCCCGACAGCAACAATGTATCAGGCAGAATCCATATTGTATATTTCCCTATTTTTTCAAAAATGAATGCTATTGGTCACCCTTTACATCTGTCAATGTGTTTTACAAATATTTTACCAATGGAAAGCATTAAAAGAGCTTGGGAATTATTTTGGGGGAAAAACAGGTTTTCTTTCGTTTCCTGAAAAGTAACAGTTTTGGACATACAAGGCTTCCGTCCGACAGCGCTGATGATGTGTGTGTGTGTGTGTGTGTGTGTGTTATTACGTTAATTAACATTTTACCAAAATTCAAGCTCAAATGGAGTTTGACAAGGGTTTTTGACCAGTAAATGTATTTTCAATCCACTCAGATAGTTTAAGTTATTTTATTAAAGAATCCACTAGGTGGCGACAAATAATATTGTTGACTGAATCGTTGACATGTAGGATAAAGATTGTGTTGGTGTTCGAATAGAAATGTACAAATTTCAAAGTACAATGCTAGGAGTAAAAAAGACTGCTACCATCCTTTCCTAAACTGATTGTAAAAACAAAGTGAGATTTTCCAACACTCGAGTATTAAAATGTTCAGCAATAAATACCTCTTAAGACAGCCTCTGCTTGTCTTCTTCTCCCAAGGCCCTCCTAGATCTTGTTGTTCCTGTTCCTACTTGCTCCTGCTCAATGTATGCTGATTACTACGACGGGGTGAATGGTATTTATTTTAATGACACGATAAATGACTGTGTTATGACTGCGTTCGCCATGACGTTGTTCAAGTTCAACTGGTCCCAACAGTCTCTCTCGCTCTCGTTCTTTTTTATTTTTATTTTTTTAATCACATTTGATAAAGATATTATAGTAGTGTTTCATTTTTTCTTGTTATTCAAATTCAAAATTGTTTTCAAATATTATTTGTCACTTAATCTTAAAGATTTTTAATAGTGTGTGTTTGTTCCCACCAATCGCTGCACAAGTTAAGGATACGTATGATGACGTAAGCACGTTAGTGCGAGCCCTCCCGGAACCCATAGAGAATGCATTGCAGTGCCTGCAGTTAGAAAAAAAACATCTTTGAATGCAAGTCTATGGGAACACTCTGGGCGATTCTCAGCCATAGTGAAATCGCCCAAAAAGAGGCGGTACTCTACAGAACGTGACATGACGCTGATTGGACTATAGTGACGGCTAGCGTAACTCTGTGGTTGAATGAGATTGTGAATGTGATTGAAAAAGTCACTTTTACACTTTGGTGGTGCGTCGCCCAATCGCCCTAATGAAGAAACCGCCCCTGATAGGCCTACTGTATAGGGTGAATTCAGGGTTTTCTAAGTCACTCCAAGACACATTTCTAGAGAGAGAGAGATACAATATGATGTCAGATAATAATAAAATGCTAGACAATTATGGATGTTGTCTATATAAGCTGGTCTCAATTGCAGCTGTGGTTGTAAAATGGGTACTTTATTTACTAAATTTAAGGCTATACAAATACAGACAGATCAAAAGATCCAATTGCAGGAACCACAGGAATTTCAAAAGCCATGCAATCCAGGGGTTCCTGAGGGACACAACCCTGCTCCAACACTGTTTTCAAATAATATTCTGCTTTATAGCTGAAGCAGGTGAGTTATAGGATTAACATGGGTAGTAGAAATAAAGCATGAATAGTGATACTGTGGTTCAGCATCATCATTAAAAATAATATCTGCTCAGAAATCGCTTAGAAAAGATTTGAGAAATGATATATTTATGCTTTTGAAGGACAGTCAGATTCACATAAAGGGATTTCTGGAAATGAAGCTGCGGATAAGGTAGCAAAGAAGGGTTTCACTTAGTTCCTGGAGGGGTACTGTCCTGCAGTGACGTCACGTGACATATAGCTAAATATGGTGTCCCATATTTGGAATTTGTGCTCTGCACTTATCCCATCCAAGTGCACACACAAACAGACACAGTGAGCAGACACACACCATGAACACACACCCGGAGTGGGCAGCCATTTTTTGCTGCGGCGGCTGGGGAGCTGTTGGGGGTTCAGTACCTTGCTCAAAGGTCTCACCTCAGTCGTGGTACATTCACTCCCTCCTCCAACAATTCCTTCCAGTACTGAGACTCAAACCACCCTTGGGTTACAAGTCCGAGTCTCAAACCATTAGGCCACGACTGCATCCCATATCTCCAACCAGCTAACCCCAGCCTGGAAGTTTCTATAATCCCTGAAGAGCTTGATTATCTGGTTCAGGTGTGTTTAATAGGGGTTGGAGCAAAACTCTGCAGTCTGCAGTGACCCACCAGGAGACGTACACCTGCTCTAAGCAGAGTAAAATATTAAATATTTATAACATTCAAAACAGAATGAAAGAAAATAATATATAAATATGATATATATATTTAAGAAAGAGGATTTATGAAAGAAATAGGGGGATAAAGAGCGAGAAACAAAAGGTTAAACATTGCACAATTTGAAATCAAAGGGTTAATAAAAAGAGCAATAAAAGGAATGTGGCAAGAAATGTGGGATACAGAGGAAAAAGGTAGCCTATAGACAAGCTTGTATAGATTACAAAGGGAGAGAATAGTGTGTGGAAATAGAAGAGAAGATACAGTAATTTCTCGTATTTGTATAGGACATACCGCACTCAATCATAATTGGGAAACATGATAGGCCTACAGGCCTCTGTAGTAGCCTACTTGTGTTGTTACATCCTGCCTATTCTAGGCTATGTAAAAAGAGAGGGAAGACCATGTGGAATTTTCATATAAAGAAATATATTTATTAAAGATAAAGAATGAACAACGTCAGTTAAATAAAGTCAGTATAGATGTTAGGTTGAGAAATAAAAATGTATGCAACAAGATATGAGGTGTAGCATAAGGAAACAAAAACGGCAAAAAGGTGCGGGAGAGAAGGATAAGCGGCGGCCATCCTCAACCAGGGGTCTATACCATGAAGCCGGTTTAGGTGGCTAGCCAGGTATGTTTTAGCTTAGTTTGCGCCAACCCTGGGTTTTAGGCACCATGAAAGTGGTTTGGCTTTTAGCAGTGTATATCGCCATAGTAACTTACGCTCCAC